TATTCCTGTTTCCTGAAAAGTCACAAGTAGAGTATGTTTGACTGCGCTTAGAGCTACACAGCTGTTGCTCGCCAAGTCTCCTCTCATTCTCGCCTCATCACGGAACCATCCCTTATTGAGAATAAGCTAGTGATAGAACGTCTACCGCAATGACCCAGGAAGGGACTACAGAGAAAAGGGCCCTGAAGGATGGTAGTCCAACTGCTAGGGTGGAGCACACCGAGAAAGCCAGCGACGCACATGCGATCTACGACCTGGAGGGCCGCACCACCGGCCCGAGTCATCTTAGCGCGATCTTCGAGAACCCTCTCGCAGGGATCCCACGCGAGAAGTTGTTGGACGACGTTGAAATTTTCTGTCGTGAATATGGTCTCGATGAACATTTGGAGGACTTCCGGAAGGGAGCGCTCATCTCGCAGAACCCAGCAGGAGCGCTCGATCTGCCCGAGCTGAGTGAGGAAGACAAGAACACACTCAGGCGCGAGCAGACTCACAAATGGTCGCAGCCATGGCAGCTTTACTTTTTGGCTGGTGAGACATGCTTTTAGATGCCCGTTCTTGTCTTTTGACTAATCTTGTTAACTAGCTATGTGCTCCCTTGCTGCCGCTGTCCAGGGTATGGATGAAACCGTTAACAACGGCGCGCAGGCAATCTACTTGAAGGCAAGGCATTATACCGGCTAGTACGGAGAAGGAAACACTGACAGCTCTACAGCAACTCGGGATCAAGTCCTCTCGTTTCTCTCCGAAGATGCAAGACTACCTGACTGGCCTTGTTGTCGGCGCACCGTACCTCGCCTGCGCGACGGTCGGATGCTGGCTGACGGAGCCCTTGAATCGACACCTCGCTCGTCGAGGCACGATCTTCTGGTCCTGCTTCATCGCCGCCGTCGCGTCCATCTGGGAAGGCGTGGCCAACTCCTGGGTCAATCTGTTCCTCGCCCGGTTCGTCCTGGGCCTAGGCATTGGGTCTAAATCCTCGACAGTCCCTGTCTACGCTGCTGAATGCTCGCCCGCGCCCATCCGCGGCGCCCTGGTCATGATGTGGCAGATGTGGACGGCCTTCGGCATCATGCTGGGCAACATCATGGGGGTGGCCTTTATGGGACTCTCCGACGACCTCTCGTGGCGTCTCATGCTGGGCTCCACCGTCGTGCTGCCCATCATCGTCTGCGCCCAGGTCTACTTCTGCCCGGAGTCCCCGCGCTGGCTGCTCCAACACGACCGCATCGACCAGGCCTTCCGCGCCTTCCGCACCCTCCGGCCCACCTCCCTTCAAGCCGCGCGCGACCTCTACTACGCCTACGTGCAGGTCCAGCTCGAGCGGCAGGTCAAAACAGGCCGCAATTTCTTCAGCATGTTCCTCGAGCTCTTCACTGTTTCTCGCAACCGCCGTGCCACGCTGGCCAGCTGGATCGTGATGTTCATGCAGCAATTCTGCGGCGTCAACGTTATCGCCTACTTCAGCTCGACCATTTTCTTAGATGCGGGGTACTCCATCCAACAGGCCCTGCTCGCCTCAATGGGCACCGGCATCCTGAACTGGGTCTTCGCTCTCCCGGCATTCTTCACCATCGACACCTGGGGCCGTCGCAATCTACTGTTGTTCACCTTTCCCTTCCTCGCCCTGTGCCTCCTGTGGTGCGGCTTCTCCTTCTGGATCGAGCCCGACAACCCCAGCAGCCGCGCCCGCGTCGCCATGGTCACGACGGGTATGTACCTGTTCGAGGTCTTCTACTCCCCGGGCGAAGGGCCCGTGCCCTTCACCTATTCGGCGGAAGCATTTCCCCTGCAAGTCCGCGAAGTGGGGATGTCCTTCGCCACGGCGACGACCTGGTGCTTTAACTTCATTCTGTCGTTCACGTGGCCCCTGCTGCTGAGTTCGTTTAAACCCCAGGGCGCGTTTGGATGGTACGCCGCCTGGTGCGTGGTCGGGTGGGTGCTCGTGCTGCTATTTGTGCCGGAGACGAAGGGTGAGTCTGTCTGCCTTTCCCCAACATTCGCCTCCTGTGGGGAGTCTTTCTTTGAAGAACTGTTTTTAGTTTTGTTGAGATACATCGATACTAACCCGGCCGTGGATATAGAACTCACCCTCGAAGAGCTCGACCAGGTCTTCTCCGTCTCCACCCGCAAGCACGCCCGCTACCAGCTCGATAACGCCTGGTGGCACTTCCGCGTCTGGGTCCTGCGGCGGAAGCTCGAGCCTCTTCCAAGATTCTACGAAGGGGTGGAGCGGTTGGCGGAGGTGGTGCACTAGCTGGTTTGCAGTGTACTGTGATTTACCCTACGGGCCTCGGTTGTGGGAGATGTGGTGCGAGAGGCATGGATTAAGTGATATATGTAATGCATGCGACTGTTCGACTGTAGTTGATAACAAGATATACAGAACAACCTGCGCTCTGGACATTATCTGTCGAAATATACAGCTAGCCCCTCCCCGAACGAAAATAGGAAGGAAAAGGAGGATAAGGTGATGATGAATGACCCCTGAGCGGGCAGCAGCCGGGGAAAAAAGCAAAAAAAGAGAAATCACGTGCTCACACTCGGACTCGAACCGAGGATCTCAGCATTACTAGTGCTGCGCTTTACCATCTAAGCCATGCGAGCGGTTGATGCATTTTGTTTCCACAGGCACACTTATACTCAAACATAAAACTAGGAAATCAATTGTCATCACATTTATGGTCATCTACGTCTGCTTGGCGATCAGAACAGAGAAGACATTCTGAAGCGCGTCAACAGCTTAGTTTATCCTCGCGTCCGATCTCTCGAGATAACATTTTGAGGATCGTGGACCATTGCTGTGGGTTGTGATTTTACGAGCATGTTAGGTTGGTGTTGTATTGTGGAATATCTGAGGAGCATTCTATTTATATAACGTAGGAGACTGATCCGATCCGCAGCTCAACATCAACCCCACAGGTATAGCCACGTCTTCACAGCTAGAATAGCATATGGCGCCTAGCAGAGAGGAAAGAGTAAAAACAAGCCCACTGAAAGAAAAGGAGGGTCTGGGGGTTCTCCCCCAGAACGCCCACCCCGTCCAAGCCTCCAAGAACAACAGCATCCTGACTCCCTTTCTTCCAAACAGAAACGCCCCGGATAACAAACCAAACCCTATCCCCAAACACCCCTCTCATCGCCCACCGGAAACGGCACCTCGAGATGCGGTCCCCCCAAATGCGCCAGCGTATACCCCAGCACCGGTGGCGCGCCCTCCCTCTGCACGACCGACACATCAGCGACAAGCGCCTCCGCGGGAATGATCCCCGTGACCGGATCGCGCCGGGCCTCCTCCAACTCCACGGCGCCCTCGACGAGGGCGACAAACGTGCTCGTGTGGTGCGGGCCCTCGAAATGCGGCCAGCGGCGGAGGAGCTGCACGGCGCGGCGGCGGGTCGGCAGGTCCCGGCATTTCAGGGCGATCCAGGTGAGCGGGAGGATGATGACCATGTCCATGACGAGGGTGGGGAGGTTGCGCGGGCCGAACTCGGCCTCGAGGCTGGCGACCGTGGCCTCGCCGAATTCGAGTCCCTGGATCAGGTCCGGGGCGAATTCGTCCCAGACGTCCTCGGACAGTCGGAGGGCGCGGTAGGTGTGGGTTCTGAGGATGCGGTGCTGCATCTGGATCAGGTTCATGCACCGGGCTTGCTTGGGGGTCGGGTGCGGCAGCTGGGTGGTCGCTAGCTCGGTGAAGGCGGTGATGTGCTCTTCGAGTTGGGTCGCGAGCTTGCGTTGCGCGATGAGGATGGGGAAGATGTTGAGGGTTCCAGTTGGGTCTTGGAGGGCGCGTTGGACGATGGTCAGGTAGCCCAGGGCGTTGTCGGAGATGGGGTCGAGCTCGCGCCAGGCCTCGTCGAGGTTGCGGAAGCGCAGGGGCTGGTGGTTGTCGCCCCGTACCCCATTGGTGTCTCTTTGGCGCGATACGTATCGGTGGACTTGGATCTGGATGTCGAGGTGCGCGATGGCGGCTAGGAGGGCCATTTGCGGCGTCATCGCCGACGACCGGTCGGCGTGATGGTAGTCTTGCAGTTTGTCGTGGACGATTGCGCGGGCTGCGTCTCCCTTCTCGCCGGACAGGATTTGGAGTCCATTGGTGAGATGGACGCAGGCGTTCTCGTTATTGCCCTGGAGCACTTCGAGGTAGGTGAACAAAACGCAGCAGACGAGCGCAATCACGGAAACGTGCGGATCCTGTGAGCTCAACCGGCGGCGAAGGGTCGACAAAGCGCGACCGTATTGCTCGATAGCAAACCGATGGTGTTGAGTTCGATGCTTGATTGCCTTGCTCTGAGACATACCGTTCGTCTCGGAGCTTGCATGCATGGCACTCAATGAGACCAGGGCATGTCCGACCGCAGGCTCAGCCTGACTTAGCTGCAGTGCGAGACGTCGCCAGACTTCCCATTCGAAAAAGCTGACCAGCATTGGCATGGTGCGAGTCTGAAAAAAGCTAATGCATCGCCGCTCATCAGAGCTCATACTGGGATAGCTGATATCGATGATGTGAATGGACGGGGTATAGAATTTGTCCTTCTTGGTGACGATCGGGAGGCGGGCCGTCTCGTACCCATCGCAGGTCCGGCCCGTCGAGCTGCAGTTCTTGCACGATCCTGGGGTCTCGTCGCATTTGATCCTTCTGGTTTTGCAGGTCTGACATCCTGTGCGGGAGCGACGGGTATACGCCCTCTGTCGGGTTGGCCGGTTCATGATTCTTGCTGCCTGTAAGCTTGGGGGATTAGAAGATTAGAAGTGATCGGCTGTGCTTCCGACCGAAAGTCGCAGCCTCAAACGCTCTTCAACCGGCGCGCTTTTAGTGCACCAGTCCGTCGCTATTAGACCACCACATCCAGCGTCATTGGCTCAGAGCCTCAGATACTGCGCACTTGGCGTAAGATGATCGGCAAATCCTCGCCAGCTCCAACTCCAAGCGACAGATCAATCCTAAGCTGATGACTAGTAGTAGGTATCTACCCGTGACTCAATTAGCACCAATTGCAGAGAAAAATTGTTAATTTTCATTATGGTCTGGGCCAGGCTAGGCATGCTTAGCGTGGCTTGTTGGAATGCCAAACGAGCTTGGCCAGTATATTGGCTCAGCGATACAATTCACTTGGAATCGATTGATCTCCAATTCATGACTGAGGTGACTGGTAACTCCAATACTATTCCACAACCAAACTATGAGTAAATTCTGTGCAAGTACCACTCCTAAAATACCGTTCAATGTCTTGAGGCGGGAAAGCCTTAGCCATCAGTTACATCTGTCTAGGTGTTCCATGACAAGCTGGTAGATCATTGATGGGTTTTGCTCAACCTGAGCCTTTCGTTCCGCCAATGAAAGGCTTAGCTCCCTTAGGGATGTACCGAGTTCATATGCTCCGGTTTTCTGCTCTGACGTTACTAAATTTTCCACCAAGTCGCGTAGTGTGGACGCAACATACCGAGATAAAGGAAGCCAAATATTGCAAATCTTTGGACGCTTCGTCAATCGACTCCACCTGTACCAATGCTTTGAGCCAGCGGGGAATATGATTCTCGATGAAGAGAGAGAAGGAGTCGCCAGGGTGAGCTTCTACTCGACTGCGCTCAAGATGCTTCACCCAGTAACGGCAGGCGTAGCGCGCTGCGGGTGACCATTCCCACACAGTGCAAGCGTCTCCAGTGTCGACCATGAGATCGCTTCGGTCTGAGGTTGAGCCTACTTTCTCTTTCTGGCCTCGCTCAAGGATGTCTGGAAGCAAACGTAAGCAACCTTCCATAGCATCGTAGTGAGCCTGTTTTGAGTCTATTCGAAATCTCTCGTCGGTGCATCTTGTGGGGCTCCTCAGAAAGGACCCCACGGATGGATGAAGAAGACGAAGCAATGAACTATGGTCGTGCTTGTCGTCTGGAACATCCATGAGCGGTTGAAGATTCTTCATAACCTCATGGATGTCGATGCTATCCGCCCCAGGCTCATCCCCTTATAGGTCGATTAGTTGATAGAATGAAGCGGGAGAAATCTCCTTGAACAGCACAACTATAACGCCCAGGTAGCGTCGCAACAAGCCATCGTATATGCTGCTCTCCTCGCTGCTCAGGTTTGATGGCATTGCATCTCTCAGAATGTCAAGGTACACGTCGTCAAGTTGAGCTTCGATGGGTGACATCGTGGCGCCAGACTGGAGCAGCATTGATAATCTTCGGCCACATAGCCCAGGAACTGCTCGAATATACCTGACAGCCATTGACGCCCACAGGAAGTTGCCTCCGGTTTTATCAACCAGCTTTCGAAGGTTATCTGCCTCTTCCAAATTTGCGTTCAGCTGTTGTAGCTCTCGCTGCAAGAAGAGCGAAATATCCCGATCAATGATTTCTCGGGGGATGGCTTGCAGCTCAAAAGCACGGTAACGACTATCATGTTCGCATCGTCTGTGGAAAGTTATGGTAGGTGTCATCCTACTACATATGAAGACTCGTACACCAGCCGAACTGATATCCTCGAGCAAGCGAATGGCGATACCGATCTCAGATGTTTCACAATTGTCAAGAGCATCAACAATGAGCGCAATCGGCAGTCCATTGAAAGCAAATCGAGCTCTTGATATAGGTCTCAAGATTAGCTTTTGACACTGATCCCCAAAGGACTTGAAGCAAAGATAAGGGTCCTTAGCCATTGCTTCTGAGATAAAAGACATGAGGACTGGAAATTCACTAGCAAGTTGGTAAGCAATAGTGGTGATGAATTCGCGTGTGCTGCGCTTGCCACCGCCTGAAGCCTTATCGAAGAAGAAGGTTGCCCCAAGGCGACCCTGAGCACTCCAACTACGAGCAAGCGTTCGAGCTATTGTCGACTTGCCTGTTCCTGCCCATCCAATTAGCCAGTATATGGTCTCGCTGCTATGGGTATTGGCCCATGCGTGAATATCTTCGAGAACGGCCGTCCTAGTCCCTTCGAGACATAAGGGGTCATGCTGTCTATCATAGTGGTTATGAACCGCCTCTGAAGTATAGGGAAGCTTGTCGAACAGAGTGGGGCCGCCTCTATTATTTGTCAGTGAACTCTTGTATCGAGGGTGTCGAGACGTACCGTATAGCTTTTACGGTGGCCATTTCCTCAGCTGGTTCGATTTGCAAATATGCTTGTTCGTTGAACCCTATTAGGTCGTCACGACATAAGACGCGAGATTGTGATACTGATCTTTGCTGTAATGGTGTCATTTCTTCATCCTGCTCTATAGAGCTCTCGCATAGATCTATCACGGCTTGTGCACAGGCCGCAGCAGCAGCTGCGGCATGTCTTTGCCACTTCTTGTTCTTGTGGCTATCTGCGTAGTCACACACACCCTTGATAATGAGACATGGTAGATAGTTCCAAGCCCCTGCTCCTTCCATCTCAAACGCAATAACATTCTTTGTCTTTGCAACTCTGTCGCGGTGCTGGCCGGATTTTAAGACCTGATCTCCAGATGCAACGGAGCCAAAATGAAGCAGCAGTGTTGTATTGCTTTCATCGCGGCCCCGAGGGATCAGATACTCAGGCTCGCAGCCTAGCTGGTCACACGAGGAGTGCTTTGCAATAGTGCAAGACTTCCCTGGTTGGACGCAGTCGCAGTCGTGCGGGTTGCGGTGCTTGTGCATATAGTCCGGCAGGAAAAGCTGGTCTTCCTTGTCCCCTGGATACCGAGACTGTGCAAAACCTGGCTTCCGGAGCAAACAGTCCAGATGTTTCCATGTTCTTTTCTCGAGATCCTCCTTCTGGTCCTCGAGCTTGGCTAACAACGATCGCACTAACCACGTAGGTCTTCCAAATTGTGGTTGCTCAGAGATTTCTGGCGCTGGGTCATATGGGTGGAAGATCGCATTCTCAGCAGGTACAATGTTCTTACTGATCACAACATCGCCAAGCAGAATCTGATCTTGGGCTTGCGGAACTCCGCCACAGATTCCAACAATCAGAACAAGCTTCAGCTCTGTAAAGCTTGCTCTTATACCCGCTGCTGTTGTTGCCGCATTTACCTTGCCCATCCCCGGCATGTGTGCGAGAACAACTCTGTGATTTGCGATTTTGCCGGTGGTATACGAGTTCATGTCCATTGGAGCCTTAACGGAAGTGTTGGTTGCATCGTTTTCCGCTGCTTCGCCATCGATCTGATCGAATATCCCTCTGATAGCATTGGCTTCCAGGGGCAAAGCAGCGAGGATGCCTATTTTGAATTCTGGGTTCCGAGTATTTGAATTTGAGAGCATTGTAGCGACCGCAACGGGGAGATATGTGCTTTGCTGGACCACGACAAACACTACATCCGATGATTTTTGTCTCTGGGAAGAAAAAAGGAGGTTGAGAAATCGACCTCCATGGCAGTGGATGGTTTTATAAGAGTCCCCAGATAAGGCGGTTAGTATGCAAGGCTGGGATTGCATCCGTCCCAGCGGGCGCCTAATCCTCGTTTGTGACAGGAGAGCTGAGCGGAGCATGTCTGACTTGGGAGAAACCGTGATCGTTAGCTTGAGCTTTAGTGTATGTTAGCAGTCGATACGATGAAATATAATTGGAGTAGTAACGTATCGTATTGTACTGTACTTTAGCAGATTTTTGTTTTGACCCCTAACGGCCCTCTGGGCTCCCTCCCCAATGAACAATTCAATTTCTCATCAGCCAGCCACTCTAGATAGAGGCAACTCTACCCCTCATAAACTTTGTTCTCCCTGTGAATAACGTCGAACAACAACACTATTTCAGGTGTTATTCATGTGCCACCCCCTACCATGTTCTTGGGTTACTTCTTCATCCTCGGGCCACAATGGCATCCGATGCCTTTTATGATAATAACTCGGCCAATGAGCCCGATTCCGCAACCATGCATGATACATCCGAGTACGCGTTTGAACCCGAATATTGTCCAGATGAGCTACATCTGATCATCAAGCGCAACGACACGCTCGGTCTGCTCCGCTACAGCGAAGAAGCAAAAGAGCGTGGTGAGGATTTTTTCAGCCGGGTCAAAGTAAGCCTTTTCGGCTACTACCCGTTTCCGCCCTTCTATTCCGCGGCGGATTATGGAAGTCTGAACGCTTTACGCGCCTTGGTCAATCTCTATCAGTCCGACCCTACGCATTCTCAACAGCCGCTGGAGAAATATCTGCAGAGACTTGACTTTCGGATGCTTAACCTCGCCTGCGGCAACGCCGACAGGAAAATGACACGGTTCCTGCTCGATCATCAGCCACCCCTGGGCGCGTGGCGGGATCGGGACGCTAAGGGGGCGACACCGCTGGTCTGTGCCGCACAGGCTTTTCCCGGTAATGTGGAGGCTTTGAAGAGAAAGATGAAGGAGACAAGTCCCGCGATGATCCGGGAGAAGTTGCGAGAGCACCATGCTCGCTATGGCGAGTTTATCGAGTTCTGTTTGGCCAGTGGTGCTTCGGTCCGCGAGGCGGATCAATACATGCTTCCCTATCAACTCGGATGGCAAGCCCAGCCTGGCGACCAGCAGATACTGGGGGACACTGTGCTGGGCAATGTGATAACCCACGCTAGCTATGCAATGGTGTCCCGCTTGATCGCGGCAGGCGCCGATGCGCATGTCGTGCAGACGTGGTACGATCCCTGTGCCTTTGGTTCTGCCTTGCGGTGCAGCGGGGTCACACCGCTGCATATTGCCAGCAAATGCTGGAATTTGGATGCGATTCAGGCGCTGCTGGACCACCGGGGTCGGATCGAATTGGCCGAGATGGTGTCGAGAATGGATGACCACGGACGGCCACCACTGCATTGGGCATTAATGGGCGATGAGGACGAGATTGCCACCTTGACTCCTTTGGAAGTGACCTCGCGGATGTTGCGCACTGTGAAGCTGCTTCTTGATATTGGACCAGCGATGGTGAATGTGAAGGATCATGATAACAAGACAGTGCTGCATTATGCGGTTGACAGTCATGTGGGGGATGCCGACTGTCTCGAGGCAGTGAAATTGCTGCTGGAGTACCGACCTGACCGGGACGTCCTGAACGCCCAGGGTGCGGACCTGGATGACCCGGGCTCGACCGTTTTGCATTACGCCGTATCGCGTCGTGCAGATGACGGCGTCAAGTCTGAGATCTTCTTCCAGCTACTTGACATTCTAATTATGCATGGGGCAGATCCGACGATGTGCGACGAGGCAGGCCGAACAATGCTATACCCATTGGCTATGATAGGGACAGACATCAGGCCTATCGATGCTGAGACCTTGGAGAAGATCTTGACACTGGTGGACATCAACCACGCTGACGTGAATGGAGATACCTCGCTGCATCACATCGTGAGGCGAATTCGCCAAATCGGAGCGGTTGATAAACTGCTCAACCGGGGTGCCGACGTCAACGCAGTCAACAAGAAGGGAAACACGCCGCTACATGTGGCCGTTGGAGCAAGTACCTTCCCCAGTGTACGAAGAATGGACGATGGTGGATTCGTGGAAATCCCGCCCGAAGAACGGTTGGAGGCGTTTGAGAAGATGATCGACATTCTCCAGCAGGCTGGAGCCTCCGTGGATCAAGCCAACCTTGCAGGAGAAACACCGCGTGAAATATTGAAAGAGACCAGAGAACGATGGGCGCCGAAAGACTTTAGTCCTCGCTGGAGATAGCATCGCCTCAGCCTATAGATTAACAACCATATTCATGGAAGATGATTAGGTTTAGTCCTTTTGCTTTTTGAGAACCAGAAATAGAAGAGTGGAGAAAAAGAACCGATCAGGAGGAGAGAATGGTACGTACAGTAAGTAAATCGAGAAGGCGGCAATGAATTCATCCCCGGCGGGGCAGAATCCGCAAATCCCCCCCACATGCGGGCTTCTAGACCATTACCTCATGCACGCCTATAAGTTTAATCACTGCTGCTGCTGCTGCTGCTGCTGCCTACCGCCAACTCCCCCGATCTCACTATTCTGTACAAACTACAACACAACCTTGAATACAACACAACAACACCAAACCACCAATCGCACCCACAATGCCTCCCCCGAAGACCCAACTCCCCGAAGGCGGCAAGACCCTGGTCTACTCCACGGTAGACGGCCACGAGGTCAAACTAGACTACTACCTACCGCGCAACACGACGAGCGGCCACCTGCCCGCGATAATCTACTACCACGGGGGCGGCATGACCGCCGGCTCGCGGCGCGGCGGCCACTTTCCCACCTGGCTCTACGGTGCGCCCATTCCCCCAATCCCCAGCCCCTGAAATCACGCAACTGATTTTAAGTCCCACAGACCACTGCCAAAAATCCACCTACATCTTCATCTCCGCCGACTACCGCCTGTGCCACCCGAGCACCGCCCTGGACCAAATCGCCGACGCCCAAGCTTTATTCCGTTTCCTCGCCAGCCCCGCCTTCCAATCCTCCCTCCCGTCCCCCGACCTGTCCCTAGACACAACCAAGATAGCAGTCACCGGCTTCTCGGCGGGCGCCTACTCCGCCCGCGCCGCGTGCGTCTACGCCACCCCCAAGCCCGCCGTGCTGATGACCGCCTACGGCACCGGCGGGAACCTGCTCCTCGATCACTGGACGCAGCCGCGGCCGCCGACCTCCATCGCCAAGATGGTCAACCTCGACGACGTCCCGCGACTGCTGGCGGATAGGACGGTCGTCAGCGACGATTCCACCCCGGGGTCCAATAGATTTGCGCTGACGGTGCGGTGGGAGATCGACGGGACGTTTTTGGACGGGGTGTTTGGACGGCCCGGGTTGGGGGCCGCGCTTAATAAGGTGGAGTATGCGGGCAGGGCGGAGGCGGTGCCGGAGGATTTGAAGCCGGGGTTCTTGCAGAACTTTGTGGGGAAGGAGTATCCCCCTGCCGTGTTTGTGCATGGAACGGCGGATGAGGTTGTGCCCGATCTGGAAAGTAAGTTTCAGCATGAGCAGTTGGGGCAGTTGGGGATTAGGACGGAGTTGTTGCTTGTGCAGGATGCGGGGCATGGGTTGGTGGATTTGGGTTCCGGGTTTCCGCCTAAGATGGCGGAGGGGGCGATGGAGGCGTATGCTGAGGCGTTGAAGTTTGTGGATGCTGCGTTGCTTGGGAAGTTGTGAGGGGGTTGTAGAGTTGTGGATTTGTGATTTAAATAGATGTATAAATGAAGTAGATTAGTGACACAGTTGATTGTTGGATTGGCATCGTTCTATCGTATCATTACACCATTATGTACATCACCCGGTCTGCACGTCTATACACGATTATTTCTATCTTGGTGATCGGTCCCTGTGGGGTATGATCCTCTTCTCTTCCCAGTCCTTCACGAGCTCTCCCAACGGCGCAGTGGCATATTCCAGCACTGTCGGCACCGTCGGCACCGTCGTCAACGTCAAACTCTGTTGACCTACGGGCGAGCTCCTCCAACAACGTTGTAGCGAATCTGGGCCAACAACGAAATAACGCCGTCCTTTCCGAGCTTGTAATAGATGAGTCCACCCAGAGCGATCGCGTAGCCGAAGAACTGGAGGGGCGTGACGGGATCGCGGAAGATGACCATCGATGCCACGACGAGCAGGATATCCTTGAGAACGCCGGAGAGAGTGAGGACGAGAGCAGAAGTTTTGCCGATCTAGAGGATCACATTAGCCAGGTTCTCCACCCTACGTTCATCTCGACATACCAGGAAAACGACAGCAACATTAAGTCCAAAAGCAACAGCGGCATTCAAGAAAAGAGTGCCAACTCCAAGGTTATAGATGTCGGACATGTGCATGGTCGGCAGTTCCACGACCGCAGTGATGACACCGTTCATGATCGCGCAAGCGGGCGCGAAGTAGTAGAGCGAAACCAAGGGGTCCATCTTGAATTCGGCGGAGCTGAGAAGGCGCTGAACCATGACCAAGCGAACAGATTCGAAGATGGTGGCGAAGAATTGGCCTGCGAAAAGATGAACACGCAATTCATGTCATGAGAACATAAGAGCACATACAGATGAAGCCAATCATGGTGAACTTGATCTCGCCGATCGAGGCGATGATAACACCGATGACGATGAAAGAGATGTTTCCGAGCAAGCTCAGACGCACAGGCGCAATGCCCATAGCCCAGGTCGCGAGGAGAGTCGCAACGGAGTTAGTGGCCTGGTACAATTAGCATCCCTGCCCAGTTGAGTGGTTTCAATGCGATTACCTTGAGCATCTGAATGAAGGAAACACTGAGGTACAGGTAGGCCAGGTTGCCGCAGATCAGACTCAACGAGAAGAAAGCGCCGATGGGCACGATAGCGCGCCTAAAGACATTCCCAATTAGCGACTGTGTATAATTCAATGCAAGTGAGACGAACATGTAAACGCGCGAGGTCATGGGCACGTTATGACGTGAGTCGAGCAAGGTCGTGAACCGCGCCATCAGGCGGGTCATAATGGTAGCGAAGACCAAGTGCCATGTCGTCAGAAACAAGGCTGTAGCAACATATTGTCAGTTCTACAGGCAATAGGCAACGGTGTCTAGACACGGATCGACGTACGGAAACCTGGTGAAAAAAGATCGCGATTAGCATGATCACCCGAAATCATCAAAGCACACGCCGCAATACTCACTGAATCCAGCAGTGTGCAAAATCCACTTGTTGAAGATAATGACACCCGAGCTGAGCGCAATCCACGTTCTAGCGGTGTATTAGTCTGAGTTCGAGTCGTAGAGAGCCAGTCAACCGTACGCGATGTAGAAGGCCGGGTGCAACGCCGCTTTCGCGGGCTCCGCGGGGGTGTTGACCGTAGGCAATGGTGATTTCGAAGACATGACGGGAGACGGTGGGAGGATAGTCGAGGGAACGAGAACCGGAGGCGTCCAAGAGGAAGAAGAGAACCGAAGGCCGATTCAGCAGAAGACCGTGCTGCTGGATAAGGAGAAGAAGACGAAAAAGACGGACAGCGGAGAGGGGGTGAAGCAAGATAAAAACAAAAAAGTGACGAAGGAGGGAGAGAGAAAAAAGTGGAGCCGCCGACCGATCGGCCAGCCGGTCGGTCCCTGGCAGTCTGTGGCAGGCTGTGGCAGGCTGGCAGCTCAAAACGACACGCGGCCCTGCGGTTCCAGCCGCGCCCCTCCACGTAATCGCCTCCATCGCATCAGAAACCTGACCGATGGCGTTGAGCCTTTCTCCGGTTGGCTCGTGCAATGGTACTGCTTATCCAATGGATTGCTCAAGATGAGGGTCCAGGACTCCAGCCATTCCACCCTCTGTGCGTTTCATCCTCCAAAGCCCCTCCTCCAGGGTCTGCGCTAACCTCCGCGAAAATGAGGCTTATCGATACTTATCGATAGACAGCCTTAGAAGTAAGGCCTGGCCCTGCGTCATGTCTGTGAAAGACCCTTCTACTTTCTACCTGTTACACCGCGTTGAAACTCCCGTTTCTCTGAAACAAATGTCGAGCTGAACCACCGCGCCGGGTGGAACGGTTGTCCAACCGGCAGCCATGAAAATTCTGCTTGTTACAGCTCTGCGGAGATTCATCAGATCCCCACATACCACCTTCATCCAGCCGCGAAGTCAGAGACAGTCAAGCTTTACTTTATCCACGGGTCATCCTTGGCAGGAGCCTGCAGCTTGGCATCTTTGCATCACTCGAAAGAAGTGGTGGAATAGTCCGCTCACCGTTTCTTTAACAACACAACACACAGTCTAACAAGTAGCGTCAGTCCGTCCCAGCATGGAATGCGCTGGTAGGACAGAATCTCTGAAGTTTGAGTGGGACAAAACGTCTAACAAGCTCTCTCCCCCTTGCGACGGCCCGGAGTCCGGGTCGCAACTCGTTCGAGAACCGCAGGCAGTGATCATGGGCAGCCGACTTGAAAATCTCTAGGCGCCCACGTTTCACCAACGCTAACCAAAGATTCTGGAAACAGAATGTTCCTGAGGATGATAGTGCATTCTTATTCGAAGACTAGACCAGAAAGTACCATACTCAGAACACTTCAAAGAATGCTCTTGCCCGTTTGAGTTCCTCGAACGCTTACGTATGTTGCTTCGGGCAGCCAGAGAAATAAATCTTGCTATTATCTATACTGTGCGTTCTGCCGCCGATTTGGTGGCATATGACGCATTATGATAGTATCCCAACTAAAGGACTCCAATTCACAGCCCACTTCAGTCCCCGGAAAACAAACCCAGAGTACTCTCGAACTCCAAGTCATTACCATACATTTTGATCGGTCATCTCTCGTGAAAAGCGCTATAACGTGCAGACAAAGGTGCGCATCGGTGAAATTGCGGTATCAATGACGGGTCGCCATTCCTCGCATCACTGTCTTGAGATTAGCATGTTGACAAACTGCGAGGTCTTCGCATAGAGATGATCATTCGATCGTACAGGTGGTACATACTGTATCGCACTGAATCGAAATCAATCTCTTCGTGATCTCGACTGTTGCCTTTGCTTGAGGGCTGTTCGTCTTTCCGGGGAGCTAGGGTCGTAGCATCGCTGAGTATCGAAGCAGAATCGTCTTGCGCATGTTCCTTGGAGGGCGCGTAGCCTTTGGATTGTTTCGAGTCCGCATTGTTCTTGGAATATTTGGAGTCTTCGGAGCCATTGCCATTCTTGGGAGCATTCGAGCGGATAGCCCGGTACATGCTGTTGAATGGGTTGGAAGGCATTGCTGCGAGGAGGGTGGATGCGGTTGACGCGGTTGATGGAATCACTTTGAAGATTGAGATGCAGTTGGAAGAACTGGCTTGTCTGTAGCTGCTGCTTTACTTTTCACATTGCTGATTCCTGACACTTATATAACCTTCATGGTGGTGAGGGAATTGTATAGTCCACTCCGTATAGTTTTGTTACTGCCTGGCCGGTGTCGGCCCTCGGAGTAGACGCACGGGCCATCGGACCAGCCCTGAGCGTTCCTGTCATTTTCTCCGCGAGCTTATCTTCCCTTCCAGACCCTCTCCCTCTCCCTCTCTCCACCCACTGTCGGACCTCGACTCCAGGTTTGACTCATCTCGACTCACGCGGAGTCGAACTTTTGTTTAACCTTTAATCAAACCATGTCTGCGCCTCGTCGCAACGGCCAACTGTCGTCATGCGAGCCTTGCCGGAAATCCAAGCTCCGATGCGATCATTCGACGCCGACCTGCAAACGCTGCGAGCGCCGTGGAAAATCGGACCTCTGTGTTTACCATCCCGCCCCACTGACCAAACCGCGCCAGTCTGGCCAGATCCTCAAGGCAACACAGAAAAGCACCAATCCCCAACCCCTCCTGTGTGCAAAGACAATTTCCGTCACCAATCTTGGGAGCTCCGCGTCCGTCAGCCTGCTAGGAGCCGCACAGTTTCCCAATATTTCGAAACGTCATCTGTCAGGCAGCGGTTTTCTGGGACCGACCAGTTACTCGGGCAGTGTGTTCAGCAATGAGGTTGAGCTGGAGCTGGGGATTCGTGCTTCGCTCTCCCAGGCAGACACACCACTTGACCCTCAGCGGGTGAATCAAGGAGCTCAAGTACTCTCGTTGCTCGAGCATCTCGACTTGTACGAGAAATTGATAGAAAATCGCAACAAGATAATACCAGGATGGATCTTTGGCCCCCCATTATTAAGGCCACTAATTGCACGACTGAGGGCTTCCTACCGTAACGCGACCGCAGGATCAGACAATAAGTACGCACGGCTCATGGATCTTTCCCGAGTTCTGTTCAAGAACTCGGCTACTCCAATTGAGACCCAATCCTCGATGTCCTTAAATGACTACCTCTCTCAGTTCACGCTCCGATGGGACATGGTCGGTCTTGTCTTTGCACAGGCAGGCTCGGCAACCTTCCAAGTCCTGCAACAGGAACTCGATACCATATTCAAAGAATACCCCGGAACAACGAAAGAAGGATTATGCCAGATGACTGTCCAAGCAACCGAGGCTTGCCTGCAATTTTGTAATTATCTAGGTATCATTAGCGACCCACTGTCCTGGACCATGATCCAACACATGATCTTCCTCTCTTCTTTGCATGGAAGTTGCGGTAAGCCACGATTGATCTCAGTGTCTGCCAGCTCACGGGTATTGATGTCTTCCAGATCACCGGACATGGCAGATGCTTGGAGATCTCACCACCACAGTCTTTGCACTAGGCATTCACCAGCCTGCTGCAGAAGGTGACACCCCTTTTTTTCTGGGAGAGATCCGAAAGAGGGCTATGGTCGCGGCTTATGCACTGGATAAGGACCTTGCGACTTGCCTAGGCCGACCGCCTCGAATATGCTGGCGCTATTGCAATATCCAGTTTCCCCTGGATATCGATTATGATGAACTCGTAGCAAAGCCTTCGACTAGAGAGGCGGCGCTTCAGCACCTCGATGTAGCAGGCTGGAACAAGGACGGACGACTGGACAAAGGGGCACGAGCTAGAGGCGTTCTGATTGCCAGCCTCTTGCGCGAGAGTGTTCTGGAAGTGTCTTTAAGCCACGAGCTAGACGGCTTAGAAGAGAGGGTCTTGTACGTTTCTTCCTGAGCTCTGCCAGAATACCCACTAATCCAACGCCAACAGAGACGTCTGCCGCAGGTCCGACGAGTACCGCTTAGGTATGCCGGAGCATCTGCAATGGACAGACAACAAGGAAGATCTGTCACTCGCATCCCTGCATCTAGAGTTCTTGTATCAGCAATTTTTACTTTTTCAAACATTGTTCAAGCGTATAGGCAAGGGACTTGACCTGCTCATCCGCACGTCGTCGGAGATCATCACACTGCTGCTCAAGATGATATCCATACAATCACGGCAAGGGCTCGTTCCTCCGTACGTGAAATGGGATGTAAGTTGGTACCCCAAGCAAATGTTTCTTCGTGGCTAACGTACACTACTCGAAGTTGTGCTATATCGGCCTACCCGCCGCCGGTGTCTTGTCGATCGAATTGCTCCGACGCTCTCAGACTCAGCCGCTCACTTTGCTGACATCGCCTTTACCACCGTTTCCCCGGTCGGAGATAATTCAGAAACTGTCCGTGTTCATTGCACAATTCAACACATTTGTCCCTCAAAATGAGGGCGACTACGAAATCAGTAATCGGGGCCAGAAGGTCATCTCGCAGGCGCTGGACCGCGTGCTGTCGGGTGTATCCAGCGTCTCTCCTTCGGAAGCAGTAGTCTCTGATGGAGCCACCATAGGCGACGACATAGAATTCATGGCTTTTTTAGAGAATTTCGACTGGGAGCAGGAGGTCCGGTTGGCTTTTGGGTAGAAGATACGGCACCCTCGCAGGAGAAGGGTTTGAGCGAGACCACCATTAAAGTGATTTGCAGTTTGAGTACATGGCGTGGGTTTCTAACGATAATGACGAGCTCTACATATGACATTTAACGAATGAACATATCCACCAATCAACTTTCGGTCGTTATAGATCTCGATCGCAAACAAAATTCCTAATCGGGCGGTACGCGGTTCAGCCTAAATAGGAAGATTTCCGACACCGATTGGCTAAGCTCTAACAGGAAAGCTGCCGCCAACCCCGGGCCCCACGATGACCGAATCCCGTCTACATGGGGTACGTCATGGAAGAATTTCTCGAAATAGTCTCAATGCCCTTGTCCGGATGGCATTGCGCATAATCAGAATAACGCGTAGCTGGAAATCCAGAGTATAATACATTGTCGCTCCAGTGAACCAAACCAGTGTCAGAACCAAGCCCTCAAATCTATGCCATCTATACAATAAAGCCACACAAACCACCACAGCACTTGTACATAAACCCAACCCACTGCGAGTCCCCCAGCCCCAAACCACTTAAACCCAGCACTTTACAAATCAATCAAGCCCCAATAGGCTGCTCCTCCCCGCGAGGGGCGTTATTAATCAAACTCATAAAACAATTCCACCCTACCACCAAAAGTCAGCAAACTTCCTTACTCACTTCATCCTATCCCAACTTCCAACCCTCAATCGTTACCCCCCCCCCAACCAAGAAATAAAAAAGGGAAACATACCAACATTAACCACATTCACCACCAAAACCCGAAATGGCAGGGGCACCAGAAACAAATTAACCGCCTGCACAGCGGGCCACACCGTCCAGTTCGCGCGCAGCGCGTCCCAGTAGCTTCGCTGCAGCTTCACCGCCGGACTTTTCCCCTCGAGGAGCGACATGCTGCTCAGGAACACGCCAATCATCGTCGGCGCGAAGAGGAGCTGGTCCGCGCCAACGCGGGCGACGAGCGTCGTGCCTGCTGAGCGGAAGGCTACGCGGGCTTGCAGGAGTTGGTACCATTTTGTGGCCACGGGACCGAAGACGGCTTTTTTTTGTTAGTTGGGGATCTGGATGGTTTGAGGGGAGGATATGGGGTGAGACTGAGGTTAAGGGGTGTGGCTCACCTCCACCATACAGCGCCATCCGGCTGCTGCGCATTACATCATATTCGGCGAGGGGACGCTTTTCGATGGCGGTTTGCGCGAGGCCGTCGCCCAGGGCGAAGAGGGCCTGCAGTTGGTTTAGCTTTGCGGAATTGCTGGGGGTTGAAGGGCAGAGGGGTAGAGGGATTAGGAACAGGTTGCGTACGGCTGTGGTTAGACCCTGCGTTAGGTAGGGTCGTTGGATGAGACTTCTTTGGTACCTAGATTGTGCGTCTTAGTTTCGGTGCTGGTGGTTGGGATCGTGGTGGGCGCGCTTACCAGGCGAACATTGTGGCGGTTGTGTCAATGGGTATCAACAAGGTGCAGATAAGGATACTTGGTGGAGGAGATATGATGGAGTGAGTTACAATTGAAGAGATTGTTTTTCTTAAGAAGGTGGAATGTTGGTCGGTCTGTAAGTCGGCTCAGTCTGGTTGTGGCGGATAGCCCAAACAAGAAATCGGCCCGCTGTGACGCAATGGGATGAGTTCATCTTCTTCCCGCCGGTAATGCGGTAATGCGATCGTCGCGTGTGGCTGGATCTTGATTACAGAGATAACCTTATCTTCATCTGAGTGGGCAAGCGGGATGATGGAGTCTTGTCTAAATCTCTTGTGTTGATGCGTACTACCCCTCTCCCAATGGGATAGTTATGCAGTCTTGGCATTCCATCGGGTACTTTCCATCGAGCATCTTCCGGTGTTGAAGAATAGTATGTCTATGACGTCTTTCGATGATTGACGATTATGCTATTTTATGCTTCAAAGATGATAGATGCATAGCTTCGCTAGCTGGGTCATAACTAGAGAGGCATGGAGCACGAGATAGAGATAGAGGTCCAAGGGAGATACTTGAACCAAAATCGTAGTCGGAGTAGTTCTCACGCCCTGATTAATTCCCAATCAAATTTACTGTCAGACCAAGCCCGTGACCATCAATGATAGAACCTCGTTCTTCAACACTCGACCGCCATAATAATCGCCAGAACTGACGAGACTGAAAAGAGGGGCGACAAGAGAGACATGCATCCTAGTCCATCTTGGCAATTGGTTAGCCAGACAAAACCAAAGTCCGATCTGGTAAGCATGAACGAGGTGCCCAATCCGCCGCTTACTACCTGCAACATTGGGGCCGAGATAATCGACATGCCCCCAGTGAGGCAGAGAAGACTCAAACAACCACAAATCACAAGGTCTCCACAGTATACTCCAGTTCTCGGCAATTGGCACCGCCGGGCCCAAGCCTCCGAAGCTCACCCCCTGACGGCCCGCAGCGGGGGTCAATAGTTCGGAACCCTAAAAGGGGTCCGAATTTGGCGCCAACACAACAACCGAAATTAGATCCTTCCCAGCAATCCAATGGCAGCGTCAATTTGGCCTCTAGCCCCAGAAGCAGGACCCTAGCCTTTTCCTCTTCTGGTCGGTCCCTGATCTGTTCATCCCCACCTAGACGAACTGTTGTGCACCCGTTTAGGAAATTAGGCAGTGAAGACGAGCTTTCCGCCTATGGCTCGGTCACAATTGACACACGCTAAGGCGGGTGTCTTCCGCCGCTTGGCTCGTGGATAAATTTAAGATCTCTGGTTCACCCCGGATGATTCGGTTCTTGTCATTCTTCCGCCACAAGCAAGTTCTCTCGCGGTGACTGTGAATATGGCGAGAACTACCTTCCAGAATTTCCTGAAAGCGGCTTATGCTGCTACTCTTGTTGCGGGCACCGTGTCTGCCATCGGATTGGACATCAATAATAAAAGTATAGTATCCGTCCACTCCACATTTGCCTCCCGCTGATCCACTCTTACTCGCAGAGTCCATCAAAGATGCAGCCGCCACCGCCGCGTTCAACACCATGCAGCACTACAACGGCAACAAGACCGGAGGAATTCCAGGTGTCATCCCCAGCCTCTGGGCAGAGGGCGGCATTCTCTTCAACCTCATGATCCAGTACTGGTACTTCACCGGCGACGCCTCCAACAACGCCGCCGTCACCCAGGGCATGTACTGGCAGATCGGCGACAACGACTACATGCCGTCGAACTGGAGCTCGCAGATAGGCAATGACGACCAGATGGCCTGGGGCCTTGCCGCAATGACAGCCGCAGAGTTGGACTATCCCGAGGACGTTAATCAGCCGTCGTGGTTGACTCTGGCTGAAGGCGTCTTCAACACCCAAGTCGCGCGTTGGGATACCAGCAACTGCGGGGGCGGACTGCGCTGGCAGATCTGGCCGTTTAACTCCGCATACACCCTCAAGAATGCTATCAGTAACGGTGGTCTCTTCCAGCTTTCTGCGCGGCTGGCTCGGTACACCCATAACCAGACGTTTGCGGACTGGGCGGAGAAGATCTGGGACTGGAGTGCCAGCGTGCCTCTCTTAAACAACAAAACATGGAGTATCGCCGACAGCACCGACGTGGATAATGGTTGCACGACACAGGGAAACAACCAGTGGACGGCCAATTACGGGCCGTACATCAGCGGTGCAGCCTATATGTACAACTTCGTAAGTCATTGCAAGCCAGCTTAGAATATGAAGCAACTAACGAGACGAAGACCAACGGCCAAACCAGCAAATGGAAGTCCGGCCTCGACGGCTTGCTCAACGTCTCGTTGGGAACCTTCTTCCCCGAGAAGTACGGCGGTCTGATCCTGTCGGAAATCCTTTGTGAGCCCACACAGGTTTGCAACTCATTCGAAGACACGTACAAGGGGAATTTTGTCTCGGATTTGACGCTGGCAAGCCTCGTCGCTCCGTACATCTCGTCCGAGGTGTCTTCGCGTCTGCAGGCGTCGGCCGTCGGAGCGGCGAAGCAATGCACGGGTGGCAACAACCAGACGCTCTGCGGTCGTCGCTGGGATTCGGACGAATGGGACGGGACTGATGGGAGAGAGGAACAGCTCAGTGCAACCAGCATCTTTTTCGCGAATCTGGCTGGCTTCACTGAGAAGGGCGTTGCCACTGCTGCCGCGGCTGCTAATCATACGACCGGGTCTGCCGGCACGAATAGGACTTCCACGAACGGCACTAGTGTCCATGTGGCGTTGAATGGATCTGGCAAATTATCCCAACGACAAGTCAGTGTTGTGACTGCTGGCGTTCTGGCCGGTTTGGCATCGCTCTTTGTCTTTTGATTTTGTCAATGAGCTGTATAAGACAGTCTTGGTCTGAAGAAGTACATATGCGTAAATAGTGGATTTGCGATGCGATAGCTGTGAATAGTGCGGACAAATAACGTGACACCGATACCTTCTTCCCTGTCTATTTGACTCACTCTGTCCAATCCCGATAATGACCGTACTTGTAACTCGTTCTTGACCCACGAGAGCTATACCCTGCCGAGATAGCGCGACGCATGTAAGACTAGGAATGGCAAAGCCCGTGTCGTTATCGCGCGTCCATACAACAGCTTATGGCGAAGTTTGTGAAGCATGCGCAGTCTGCTGAAAGACTATACCTATGTATTCAACCGTCCACGGTGTACTTTTCGATCGAGTCATATAGCCATCTAAAAGTGAAACCCAAGCCAGGGTCGCAGAGAAAGCCTCTCTCTACCAAGCTCCTTCGATATTCTGCGGTTTGAACTTGGATTTGTCTGATATGCGTTCAATGCACGGCAAATGCCTTATCTCAATGAATGCCGTCAGGAAGTTTGACTACCAGAATGAATAGGACTGTCCAATTGTTAGTCCTCGGTCTACGAGTCTAAATCACTATCTGAGCGAAGATCGATATCTAGGCCGCTTGGAATTTGCTCGCCTGCCGAACCGACCCACTCAGTACCCGAGCTCGAGCAGCCTTCGCTGCGTTCATGACAGTCTCCCGCTGTAGAGGGGTTGACAAATGGACGCTGAAAGCACGCTCAGGAGTGGTAAGCTGAAGTTCCTCTCCATGAAGAACACAAGAAATGTCGGAGTACAGGCTTTCCTTCATCCAAATATCGAACAGCATCTCCCAACGCTCGCAATCGAGATTCGGCAGCACCGCGCTGAATTCATCATGCGCCCGAATCACACTCTCCACATGAGATGCCGTGGACCGTGTGAGAACGGATATCACGGCTTGCACGAGCCCTGGGGTAAGATGCCTTTGTGCTCTAAGACAATTAACAGCGCTACGCACTTTCGCGAAACCTCGCCAAGACTTGGAAGTCTGACTCACGATCTGACTCACGACCTCGAGAATATCTTCCGGCAGTTCCGGGTCCTTACACAGGGCCTTCAGCGCAAGGGTCGTCGTGTCTTCGTGTTTCAAATCCGGGTCGGGCAACAGAGCCGAGATGGCGACCGTGGCGAACTTTGGCAGCCGGGACTGTGCGACAAATACCTTACACGCTAGCCGTTGAAGCTTCTGATCCGAATGACCCAGGAAAGAGACCAAAGATTTCAGAATGTCGTCACTCAGGTTATGATCGTTTTGAAGCATGCCTTGCACGAGGACAATTCTAATATCATCAGTGTGGCTACAGATCTCGGGCAAGGCTTCGAAAACTCCATCTGGGAATTTGGAGTGTTTGGAATATACCCCGAGAATATGAAGCACAAGATCTCGTTTCTCCGACTCTGCATGTTCGAGCATAGACACGAAAGAGCGCACTCGAGACTCAGGAAGCTTTTGACGGCCGATGACTTCAGCTGCCGCAAGCCTAACATTCCAAGAGTTCCCGTCATCCAGGAATGGAACGGCAGTTTCCACGATGTCCGCTGGGCGGGCACAGTGTTTGCTCCATACTTCCATTGTTCTTATCTTCACTATAGCGTCCTTATCATTTTCCATTCGAAACGCCAGAGTGTTCAAAATATCGGTGGGCAAAGATTCTTCTGACTGCAAGGCATCTACAGAAAGCTTTCGAACTTCTGCATCGTCGTCATTCAGGGCACTGTGTAATGTACCAAGAACAGATGACCTGTCAGAGAGCGCGGAGCAAGCTCGGATGACCGCAAGCCTCACCTGTAGATCACTATCATGCCGAAGAGCCAGAACACGCGGGATGATATCTATGTTTGTAGATAGATACCTCCCGAGTGTTGTCACAGCAAACCCCCTCAACGGTGGTTCTCGCGCCTCCAGCAATGATACAAGCTTCGTTATATTTGTTTTAGCTAGCCTGAACTGCCATCGTATGATATCAACCAACCCTGGCACTGGAGTCTGTTTTGCCTCGATCCTGGCTAACAATGTATTAATAAATTCTTCCGGCACCCTCGTCATGCGCCCCGGGAAGATGTAACCAGGATCTCCTGTCTCCCACTGCTTTGGATTCTCAAGCATCTCTTGGAGGGGTTCCTGCCAGAATCTGTTATGCGCAAGGAGGGCAATAAAAGCACCTCGCTTCAATGTATTATTCTCGCTGGTGTGAACAATATCTTTCATCTTCTGTAGGAGTGCTGGTGAGACCCAGGCGCGGCTTGATATGGCGTGGAGAGTCCTGATTCTGAGTTCCTCATCTGATTTGTCCAGAATGCGCCCCAGTAAGTGCTCTGGGAACTCCATTTCATCACTCAATGGGAATGAGTGAAGGCCAATCCATCCCACTAAAGTAGCCAGTAGCTCCTCGATGCTATGTTGCAATTGCCGCAGAGCACTGTACCCAGGAGGAAGCAGGATCTCATTGAAACAATACATCAGGATACGAGGGTGTGCAAGTTTAAGTAAGTCCTTTGGCTCACTATCCAGCACTTGCATGAACGTGGTTAGCCTTTCTTGATTCTTGCTTCCATGAAGAAGTCCTGCTACAAACCGCCACATGACATTGTAGCGACTGTTATACTTCTCGCGGTGTATAAACTGTTTCGCATCCAGATGATGATACTCGGTCGAGTTCAGTTCGAGACATATAAGCGGTGTATCAGTCACCCAGCAGTGCACGAAGTAATGAGCAGCAAAGTACTCCTGGAAGGTCAAATGAATGAAGTGATAAGTCTGGCATTGGTGAGTCTCCGCGGAATGAGAGCTCCGGAGAAATGATACTTCATTGAGTAGATTATCTGATTTACCTTCCAAGCCAGGCAATGCTGTATATGTTGTTATTCGATGTTGATGTGTGAATTCAACAATGTTGTTGTATAAGCCAGTGAGAGCAAGCTTCTGAATTAGCTCGATGTGGTCATGCATAGCTTGTTCAACTTGAGACCGTACGTAGATATTATCAGCCTCACTCTCGCTCAGCTTTCCCAAGAGAACCATGTCTTTTTTCCATAGTCTGACTTCGATGGCCTTGTATAAGGCAGTCATGGTTCTGATGTTTTGCGAGAGAAGCCTCTCGTTCCAAGCAAAGCATAACGCATCTAGTTGAATCGGAATCTGAAGAAGACTTTTCATCAACCAGTGGCTGTTGATGAAATGCTTGATCTCCCTTGCAGATTTTTCATCCTTGCCAATGCAGCCCACAATCTGGTCGACGTATGCTTCTATCTGCTCGGAGCGAAAGCCAGTCGTCTCAAGCTCGAGATCAAAGTCCTGAATCGATTTATCAAATCCTGCATGCGGCCTGGACGTAATGATGACATTCGGGTAGTTGAGAAGACCCAACATCGGTTGACACTTGACAAGGTCTCCACTGGGAGTCTTCGCGCCAACGATCTCATCGAAGCCGTCCAGCAACAGAAGAGTCTTGTTGTCTGTTTGATAATATATTGTTTCCAGAAGAGCAGAGATGAAATGGACTTTCTCGCGATGATTCGACCAAACCTCATGGCAAAGAAACTGATCTAGAGTAGGCTTGTCTTTTAGCTTCCGCAAGGGTATCCAAAGCACGCGTTCAAACTTCCACCGGGGAAAGTTGGCATTGATGAAGTCGTGAACGATCTTTTTGCACAAGGTTGTCTTTCCCACTCCAGCACGACCTCTAATAAGAATACGTCTCGGAGCTCCTGACTTGTTGGCGGGAGAACCAACATGGCTTCTTAGCTTGCGGACATCAAAAAGTTCTTGTAATTCGAGTGCTTTCCCCTCGCCCGGTGCTTCAACCCTTAGACGCCTCTGGAGGGATAGTTCGAAGACTTCCTGGTTTTGTCGGTTTAGGGAAGGTACGACAATTCCTAGGTTAATGTAGCAATTTTCGATGTCTAGAGTGTCGTTTGAGAGACGTAGTATCTTAAGCCGGTTCTGTTGCAAATAATATTCCATCAACGCGGCATCGGCATAGAACCTTTGCGCCTCCTTGCACTCGTGCCACGCATCTTCCAACAAACTACCACCGATGGCTGCTGTCGTACTCGGGTCGAAAGGTTTCCTCACTTGCGGTTCGCACCATGTTTCCTTTAGAAAGGATAACCGAAAGGATTTCCGGGCTCTTGGCAAGCAGTGTTTTTTCCATCCTTTCTGATCAAATGTCTCTGAAATCAGGTAGATCCACTGCCGAACACGCGAGTTCTTTGCTTTTGTTTCCTGCAAGGATTTTGAGTCGAATGTTGCGTTGACAACCTGGACGATCCGATCCTTTTCCTGTTGACCTCCCAACAAGAAGCCTTGTTCAAGTTGGGCATACAATCCGCACCAGAACTGCCAGCTATCCCCACACGGGACCTTAGGTAATATGTGTTCAAGGGTGTCAAATGATATGCCGCCAGCGAAAATAAGCATACTAGTATACCGAAGTATGCCATACCAGAGCCTTTGATGCGGAAGTCTTCGGATGTTCTCAACAAACACTTCATCCATCTCCTTTCTAGCTTCAAATAGTTCTATGCCCCCGTCATAGACTTTTTTCAAGAATTCCAAAAGTTCCAACAAGTCTGGCCCCGTGTCCAGTAGCTTGTCTGGATTCAAGGTTGAGACAGCCCCGGCAGTTTTCGCAGCCACTGCAATGACCCTTCCGCTGTTGCTCCAGAAGATATCCCAGGGACTTTGATTGTCCGAAATACCTTTAAGCGCTTCGTACGCGTAGGCTGCCGCTTGAGCCACGCGTGGCTCATCATGACGCTTCAAATCCGCAAGTAGCTTGAGAAGTGGGTCTCGTAGGGTGTCCTTGTCAATCTCTGACGCTTTGATATCTACCGCGACGTCGAGCAAGACGCCGAGCGTATAGCACAGAAGGTATTGAGCTTCTAATGCATTCTCGCGGATTTTGTAGTCTAGCCTCTCACGCAATGCATTGACTGCCGCACAAAGCCCATCGCGCGAGTAACCTTCCGAATTATTGCGAAGGAGGAAGACGAAGCTAGGGAGAAGCTCCCCGTCAAGTGCGTTACCCTTTTCGGCGTTGTCCACGATCGACCGCGAGAAGACTTGTGCCAAGTGGTGGTATTGACTCTGAGTCGTGGCTCGTGACAGACGTGACGCTTCAACATAGTAACTGGGACGGCTCTTGTCACGAAATCGGCCGACCATTTGCGAGATCAAAGCACGCAGCGCCGACTTTTCTTTCTCGTCGCATGCGGAATCGCCTAGCCGAGAAGTGATCTCGTCCACCGTTATGGGTCTCGAAGGACAGTGCAACGCAGTCGCCATGCTTAATGTAACCTTCACGGGCTTTTCTTCGTTCACGAGAGATTAGGAGGCATAGAAGAGGGGCCTTTCGGAAAAAATAGGTAGGCTGCTTAGCGGCTGGAGCGAGGCTGTGCGCTGAGGCTTAGCAACGTGCAGCGACCCCTGCTAGTTGGCTGAAACGCCCACGAATCAGCATAATCGATTGACTAATTTTTCTGATGCGTAGGTAACTTATATTATCTTTAGTCTTGGTCTTTTATTCAATTTCTAGGTGTTTGTGCCAGTACAGCCGAGCCTGTCCAGCCACAATACCGCTATTTGTTCCATGGCAAACTCTAGGATTTGGAGAGCTAGATATCTATCAAGCTCCATAGCAAAAGGTTGCGAATGGAAAAGCCCCTCCCCGCCGCTGATTGGTCTCATCAAATAATCATAGCATATTTCGCAGGCCGTCAGAGGGTGTAAACTCCGCCAGCAGTCATGCAAGTGCTTCGTAGCGCACTTTTGGGGCTTGGCTTTCTGCGCCCGCTTCTCGGAGAATGAGAGCACGATCCGCGTGGCTTCTCGTTTGGCGTAGTGGAGGGCCATCCATCCTTGAAATCCGGCTCTGTTGACGTTTGCGGTGTAGGAAATGAGGGACTGGATTGACCGTAGCGACAGGCAAGATGGAGGGTTGTCCAGTCATGGGAGGTTGCTGCGTCGATCTTAGCACCGGAGTAGAGTAGAAGAGAAACGGCTTGAAGGTTTCCACGGTGAGCTGCGATATGCAGGGCGGTTTCGCCAGTGTCGTTGCGGTGGTTGACTGGGGCACCGCAACAGAGGAGTCTATGAAGAAGAGCTGTGTGGAGGAGTGTGGTTGCGGCTCGATGAAGGTTATAGTGATGCCTTCGTGAATCTCGCGGATGAGGTGTTCATCGATCTAGGGCGCTGTGATGATGGAGAGCTGGTAACAGACGAGACGGAGGGAGAGGAGATCTGTTTTGCTGAGCACCAAGTGCAATCCAGTAAATACCTATGAAGATAACAGTTCCAAGCAAACCGGGAGAACAAGGTAGATTTTCTCGAGCGGTAAGTTGCTAAGGGAGGCCATGGCAAGTACTAGGTAGTATCTGTTTTGCAACTTCGTCGAATACTCACATCTTGATTGGATCTGCCTAGGCTGTATTGTAGTCACTAAAGCTTGCCCGTTCGATTGATCCGACCACGCGCCAGCTAACAGACTGCAATGACTTCTTAAGCTCTAGTCATTAAGTTCAGACGGAGAATGTATAGAAGGATGAAGACTATACATGTGGATACCTGCAAGAAACCAAGTTACTAACAAGAAGCAGCACTAGCGTCAAGGCAACACCCCTTAGGCAACACCCAAGGCATACCCCCGTCTAGCCTTAGGCGACCACCAACAAATGCACACTGCCCTCCAACAAAAGACATTCTAGTACATCCTGACTTCAAAGCTCAGAGAAGGCTACCTAGTAACCACTTCAACCCGCCGCTAAGATCTCTTCGCTCGTTTCATCTCCCAAGCGAACAGAGACTATGCGATCCTTCGATCCTTCTCGGCATCTGCGGACTTTAGGCGCCCGACTATAAGACGCCCAACAACCCAGCAACAAAGACGACAGTAAGCTTACTTCTTCCACCTCTCCGCAACACAACGCACACTTCACAACGCACACTTCACGATGACATCCAGCCAAGCCCCCGAAATCACTCTGTACCGTGGCTTCCCCTGGCCTGGAAAATACACCTGGTCCCCCTTCGTCACGAAGCTCGAAGCTCGTCTGCGCTTTGCGGGGATCTCGTATCGCACGGACGCCGGGTCACCGCTCGGCAGTCCGCGGGGTAAGATTCCGTACGTCGATCTCACGGACCGGACGACGGGCGCAAAGACTACCATCTCGGACTCAGCTCTGATCACTCGAGGATTCATTGAGGATGGTGTGATCACTGACCTTAATCGCGATCTCGGTGCGGAGAAGAAGGTGCTGGATGCTGGGGTGAAGGCTCTGTTGGAGGACCGGTTGTATTTCTATCTGGTACACTTCCGCTTTTCTTCCATCACGGATTGCCTACGGGTTTCGATAAACTGATTCAGGCAACAGAACCACGAGAAATGGATCGAGAACTACTACGAGATGCGAAAACACGCCCTGAGCGCGCTGCCGTACCCGGCCAAGGTGGCAGTGGGATACTACATCTACCGGAGGCAGAGGGAAATGCTGTACAACCAGGGCACCCTTCGGTTCACATTGGAGGAGTTGAAAGGATTCAAGGAGGAAGTGTGGACCAGTATAAGCGAGCTGCTGGTGTCCCGCAAGGCCCAGAAGCAGGGTGATGGGCCGTTCTGGGTGCTGGGTGGCGAGGAGCCGACCGAGGCCGATGCGGTTCTATTTGGGTTTCTGGCGGCGTCTTTGGTTTGCTCTGCGTAAGTCTTCTTAAACTCTGGCTTTATATTGACTCTAACGTGTTGTTTCCAGCTGTCCGGAAACTCGGGCGATCTTGAAAAGCTTGCCTGTGCTGGTGGAATATGCACGCCGCATTCATGACCGCTATTTTCCGGATTACGCTTGCTGGGAGTGACTGCTTATTTGACGATGTTTATGACCCATGCTATTTTGCTTATAGTATATCTATGCAGCTTAATTTAAGTACTACCACATCATCTTTCAGATTTATTCCTGGCGTGAAAGTGCTTGGACTCGGGGCGAGAAAGTATATGCATGCACGGCGAAGAGGATGACCCGAGAGACGTTGGTGAATGAGGAGGTGCTCAGTAGGTCTAATCTCACAGCCAGGGCTTATACGGTGGGCGTGGTTATAGAGAGGAATCTTTGGGTGATGGAAGGACTTCAAGTCCGGCAGCCATGCTCCATGGAAGAGGGACTTCTTCTTACTAGCATGACCGGAATTATTACCCTCCCTGCGGAATTTCGCCGGTTATTGTGTTCAGTTAGTGCTTGCCAAAGCTGAGAACTTCTGCTCAATGCTGTCATCTCCCGAACTTGTCAATCATCTCAGGGCTCTCATCTCCTACCTTGGTACGTATTTCAACTGTATCTTCTCCACGCCTAATGCTCGCCAAAGTCTACAGTATCATAATCTGGCTCACTACTGATTGACATGATAAACTGAAATTCCGTGTCTCCCTTATATCGGGCGCAATACAGCTGATCGAGTGTTCCGAGCACACTCAAGCGCCAGGCGCAGGATCGCCTCTCATAACCAGGCTAGGTTCACATAAGCCACATTAGCATGCCTAGCTATCCCACCAATCGCCCAGATATAACTGACAAGTCTGGTTCTCTTACGGGGCTATCATAATGTACTTGAAGCGGTGCAGGTCATCACAACAAGGCTTCGGGAGAGACCAGATCGACCCATCCCAGGTTCGGCTCGGATTGCTTCCAACCCAACCGCTGTTGCACCAACTTTGAGTATGTCCGCACATCCTCAATCGGATACGAAAGGTACGATATTTCCTGTTGAATTCGAGTTCAGTCACTCAATCGTGGAGCATAGCACTTTTCAACCTACCTCCTGACGATAAATCCCGCTGCACATGAACATAATGTGCATCATTCGTCCCCCTGAAGACTCGAAGAACTCCCCACCTCCATGGTAGAGACTGCCCAGCATGATCATAGCTTCGCCGGCCTGTAGCTCAGCATCGACGAGACCCATATCACCATTGGGGCCGAAGTCCGGCTTCTCATCGCCCCAAAGGTGGCTACCCGGGACCACACGTGTGGCTCCATTCGCACGACGAGTATCGCACCCGGGGACAAACAAGCCGAGAAGTATGTCGCGGTTCGCTTGGTACGCATCAACACGAGCATGTCTGGCATGATGGTTCTTGTCGTCGCGATGAAGCTTCTGCGCTTTCGCCCCTGGTCGGATTTCCATTGTGATGGCGATCGAAAGAAGCGGGTGGGTGGTGTTGGTAGACGGCTCGTCGCCGTACCAGTTGGTCGTGGTGATCGCGAGGAACTCTTCAGCTAGGCCCTGCCAATATTTTAGGACAAGTTCGTTTCTTCTGGCGTGGCAGGATCTGTCTTACCTGGTACAACGGATCGGAGAAGAATTTCTCGCGCACGGTCTTGCTGCGTCCGATAAGACGTGTACAAGTGCGAGTCCCGCCATTGAGGGCTGTTGTCTGTCAGGCTATCTAGCTGATGACAATCTCTGGTGCGATCGGCTCACCACCCAGCTTGCTCCGTTGTTGTTCTTTCTCCAGCCATGGTTGAACTTCCTGTCTTGCTTCCTCTAACGCTTTCAATGTGGTGAAGCCCTGGACTACCACACACCCATCTCGTTTTAGGGCATCAATGAAGTCCTCCCTAGGTGCAGAGTAAGGTAGTCGTTGAATGATAGGCTTGGTCATTCTCGCAGTGAATGTGGTTCGGAATTGGTCACGCGGAGAACAACACGAACAGAGTAGAAGTTTCCAGAAGAAAGCGTGTTGCGAAACATCTCAAAATCAATTTGAGAGGGCCTAGAAGTCAATAATGTTTGAGATACAAGGTTCGTTAGAGCGACTGAAGGCGGGGAGATGCTTATCTCGAACCAATTGTTGTTGTGGTTGTGATAACCAAAGTGGGAGGAGATGGAAGGCTCCAGGCTGGAGAAGTGGGGGTCGATCACTGGATGACTGACCTCCGACAACCCCACGTTTCTTTCCTTTTCCACACTTGCAACTTTCTACCTTCTGCTCAATCTACTCTCAATCTCCCTCAACCTACCCCAATCTAATTTTAATCATGGAACATCCGCTTCAACAAACCTTCTCCTCCTCAATGCTTCTTAGCTGTGCCCGTGTCCGTGTCGGGGTCCAAATGTGTGTTGCCTGTGTCCACGAAAGCTAAGCTCCAGACAAGCAAGCGCTTGAATTACGGTGCTTCTTCGCCCTCGCTTCAACTATTTTAGTACACACTGCACATTTGCTTACATTTCCATCGTTTCAAAGTAGCGCCTCAAAAGCTAAGCCCGCATGAAAGCTCGTGTCAAAGCTCGCGAACCCTCATCTAAGGGCGACTTGCAGCCAGCGTCTCGAAATTCAATGGCCTGATGGCGAATCATCGCAGGAGGGTTCAGGATCCGTGCCTGCTCGTGAACCATCTAGAACGTCTGCCCGGCCGCGCGGCTGCAGCGCTACGCTATCTGCCAAATGCTGCACTCTACGTCGTTGATAGCCACCACCGAGCCTCGGCAACCCCGGGAATTATTCTGATTCCAAAGCTTTCCACATGCAGTCACAAGATCATCCCCAATCAGGAATGCAGAATGGCATCGGACCCCTTCTACTAGTGACAGAGGTAAGATATCGTCATCATGCGGCCGGAGCCGACTGCTCCCAACGGCGACAGTCCATCCCGAGTTCCGTATGAGTCCCGTATCCACATCGGGCCGACGTCACAATTGGATCAAAAGCGAGATTTCGCCGGGCCAGCCCTGACTCGGCGCCCCACCCAAATACTGATCGCCAACTTTTAAGTTGGTCTGCACACCTCTGGTTGGCTGGGAGGTGGCCCGGCGTATGGTCTTTATCCGGACTGCTCTCCTCCGTTCTCTACAAGTACACACCCCCCGGCGGGAAGGAGGAAGATGTCATGATGGGGTCAAATCCTTCTTCGGTCTGCTTGCGTGGGATAAGTGCGCAAGGGCCTCTGCCCCTCAACCTTCTCTTTGGAGTTGGAGAGAGTTATATAACACTGCGGAGGTTTCTATGTCCGTCCCTGCTGTCAGAAGCCATTCTTGCATTAATTCTAACCCCCAAAGTCTACCCCGCGCACTAAATCACAATGAAGGAGGCCCAGGGAGCTTGTGCCCCAACTGCACCTGTCTTGAAGGGTAAGCGCCTTTGTCAGCGGTAATTGGTCATTGGTCCTGGTATTCACACACAGCAGATACCCCAGATAAGGTATCGCAAGAGATTCAGCGCATTGCGCAGATGTTCACCATCGATGGAGACTCTCTCCGGCGCATTACTGATCACTTTGTTCAGGAGCTTGAGAAAGGTCTGTGGTTGCTTTAACTGTATCGCGTGTCTACTTACTGACCCAGGGCAGGCCTCAGCAATGAAGACAGCGATATTGTATGAGATCGTTTCTCCTCACCATGCATCCTGCCACTAACGGTATTTAGCCTATGAACGTGACGTGGGTGATGAATCAGCCGTCCGGGTACGAGACAGGCTCATATCTCACTGTGGATATGGGCGGTACGAACCTTCGCGTCTGCAACGTGACCTTGACCGAGGAGAAAGGGGGATGCGAATTGACACAGCATAAATTCAAACTCCCCAAGCACATGAGACACTGCACAGCAGACGAGCTCTGGACCTTCATCGCCGACCGCATCGAAGACTTCATTCAAGAGCAACATCTCACACCACCCGAGTCGGAGAAACTGCCCCTAGCCTTCACGTTCTCTTACCCCGTCACGCAAGACAACATCCGACATGGCGTCCTCCAACGCTGGACAAAGGGGTGGGATATCTCAGGTGTTGAGGGTCACGACGTGGTAGCACAGTTGGAGCAGGCTCTAGAGCGAAGGGTATGCGGGTCACAATCATTGTTGTACACGCCGAAGCAACCTCTCTTACTGACAGCTGAACAGAAGATCCCCGTACGGGTGGTAGCGCTAGTCAACGACACGACCGGAGCACTAATTGCATCCGCCTACAAGGACCCCGACGTAAAGATCGGCAGCATTTTGGGGACTGGCTGCAACGCCGCGTACATGGAGAAAAGCGGCCGCATCCCGAAGATCGCCTCCCATAACCTTCCCCCCGATCAGCTTGTCGGCATCAACACCGAATACGGCGCCTTTGACAACAGCCACAAAGTCCTCCCGCGATGCATGTTCGACCTCGAGATCGACCGCGCCTCCCCGCGACCGGGACAGCAGACCTACGAAAAGATGGTCGCAGGCTTGTACACCGGGGAACTTTTCCGATTAATCATCGTACACCTGCACGAGACAGTAGGCTTTTTGAATGGTTGCGATCTTCAGAACATCCGTGACATCCATGCGTTGGAGTCTTCGTGCCTGTCGCGCATGGAGGAGGAAAATGCCGTTGCGGAAAGTGAAATGACCGAGACCCGCGCCATGCTCAAGCAGGAGTTCGGGATAGAACCCACGCTTCAGGAGCTGAAGACCTGCTGTATGCTGGCGGAGATCGTATGCACGCGAGCGGCCCGGCTCTACGCCTGCGGCATTGCCGCCATCTGCAAGAAGGAGGGGGTCACGCGGGGGCGTGTCGGCGTGGACGGGTCGGCGTTCAGCAAGAACTACCAGTTCAAGGAGCGGGCCGCTGCGGCTTTGCGGGAGATCCTGGAGTGGCCGGCGGAGGAGGAGGATTTGATCACCTTTGTTCCGGCGGAGGATGGCTCGGGGATCGGGGCTGCTTTGATCGCGGCGCTGACGGTGGGAAGCAAATAGGGTGTTTCACGATCGATGAATCTACACGATGTCATATCATCTTATTTCAGCAGTATACTTGAGCGTTATTAGCATAGCATGCAGATTTTTTTAGCCAGAAGAATTATTCCAAGTATTTACACTCAGGTCCACCTTAGGTACTGCATCTGTGTCAATGGTTCTCCATCATATCAAGCATATGCTTAAAGAACGCTACAGGATCTCCCCAAGCGTCTTGTCTATCCCACATCCCAAAAACGAAAAAAAAGGAAAAAAAAGAAAGTCAGACGGAATCCTCAGTGCGTATCCCTTTGCCTCAGCACTGAGCACATATCTATCCTTTCCTCAAACTACAGTGACTCAACCTACTCTACGTCAAAATAGTACTCTCCCCAGTCGACCGACAGTAGATCCTGTCACTAGTAGCAACCACCTTCCAGAAGCCCTTGCGCTTCTTTTCCCCGCAGGGACCCATAGCCTGCAAGCTTAAGGACAATTTGTCCATGTCGATGCTCCACCCCGTTCTCCCGCGCTGATTCCATCAATCGGCTGTCCAGCGGTACTGTACCACCCAAGCGCGAATTCAAGCTCATACACTTCGACGGGATACAGTTGCTCGTCCTACTCACATAATAACATAATAACTAACCTACTTACTGAATTTGACCATAGCAGGGCTAGCCATTACTCAGGTCCTAGTCTCAGCGACTCACAGAGCAAGAGTAATGCCGAGCCGCAATCACAACCGAAGGAGTAGACCTAACAGTGATACAGCACAGCTGATTATTCCCAGATTACCTAGACTGTCACTGGAGGTATAAAGTAGAAGCAAAAGCGCACGCGATGCGGGGAGCGGGAGCTCCAATAGTCCCAATAACGTAATCGAGCTGAGTGGTGGGGTTTGCGCCAGGAGTCAAAGACCTGGAAGTAACTTACCTGTACTGGACGTATTCGATGCACGGCTTGCCCTACCTTTGCCCTACCTAGTGCACAGTGGTGAAGGCGATTTGAGTACACCATCAATTCATGGATCGACATCGGACTTAACCTGTAAGACCGACAGCGTTGAAACCTTGGGGGTTTCTCCGCATGGCGGTTACACCCGCCGCCCACGGGGGAACATGGAACCCACGATCAAGCCGCTGACGAGCATTGGCCTCAGGCTCAACCGTGAAGACTCCAAGTTCAAGCCTCAGACTACGGAGTACCTCTCTAGGAATGGCTCTATGACTAATCCTTGTTTGAATAAGTTATTAACTCTCGGGTGTGCATTAATTTATGACTAAGGTATGTACTATGACCCCGGCCCTCAATTCCGGCTAAATACATCCCTCGATTTAGCCTCCCGAGAGACCCTGCACGACCCAGTCAGCCTGGACCGCTCGTCTTCTGCCCCAATGCAGCCGCCTCACGGGATCAGCAAGCCCTCTCCGGCAAAAGGAAGGATAATAGATTGCATGGGCTGCGTCTACCGACGCCATCCCGTGTACCGGACTGCACCGGCACCATGCAACTGCCGGCTTACGCTTCGGTAGTGTGTGGTGGCACGGGAGCGTCGTCCAGATGCACCGTCTTGGTGGTCATCTTCTCGGCGGATGCATCCATCTCACCATGGAGCAAGGCTGTCAGACCAATGTCGCGGTCGATCTGCTGGCGGAGGGCCTCGTCTTCGGCCGCCATGCCCTCCGATCCGAACACTTCGTCCATCTCCTCGAGGGTGCGGCCTTTGGTCTCGGGGACGAAGAACAGGACGTAGAGAAATCCGATCACCGTCAGGCAGCCGAAGAAGATAAAGGTTCCATAGGCGGATCGTGCAATAAAAGGGGAGGTTGCCAAGCCGACGCCAAAGTTGTTGAGCTATCAGGAATTAGCCGAGCTCTTGTTAAAATGATCAAGGTCTATACATACCCAGTTGCTACTACCGCCGAGACTGACTCCCTTGGCACGCATGCTGAGCGGGAAGACCTCTGATACCACAATCCAAGCACAGGGACCTAGTTGGCTGTTAGTATTGCGCTCATTGTATCAGAGACTCAAACGGACCCCATGAATAGGCAAAGTTGATGATGAAAATCCACACAAATGCCACGGTCGCCCAGCCCGCACTCCGGTGACTCCCAAACTCTCCTTGGTACGTAGCGATAAGTCCGGCACAGATGAAGTGGCAGATCGCCATGCCTGCAGCACCAGCCAATAGGATCTTCTTGCGACCGATGTTGTCCACCCAAAGCACTGCAGGAATGGTGAAGACAAATTCGAAGATACCAGCAACGCCAGTTGCGAGGAGGTTGGTAGTGTTCCCGCCGAGTTCGAGTTCTTTGAAGATCTGAACAACACAGTTAGTCATATGGATTCCTATCTTCGGCAGAAATACTTGCCTGGGGCGCAAAGTAATTAATCGCATTGATGCCGTTCCATTGTTGGAATGTCATCACAAGACACTAGATCACAATTAGCCTCGCTCGTGGTACGCAAGGGGTCAACCGTACTGCAACAGTGGTCCGCTTGAAGAGTGACTTGTCCGTGACCAACGAAGCATAATCCTTCACACCAATCATGAAGCGACTCTTGAACGAATCATCCTGGTACTGAGGGTACTTTCTCCTCGAAGTCTCTTGCTCGAACATCTTCAAGGACTTGATTTCGAGGTACTCAATGCGGACGAGAATGTCATCGGTTGAGGCATCGCGCAAGCGGGCCAAGGTGCTCAGGCACTCCTCTTCGCGGCCAGTATTCATAAGGTGTCGTGGTGATTGAGGCATGAAGAAGACCATGCCGAACGCTAAGATAATGGCTGGCAAGACTTGGATGCAGACCGGCACCTCCCAGGCCGCTTTAGACTGGCCATCGCCGGTACCACCAATGTAATTGGTACCATAGCAGATCTGTTCCTGTCATTAGCACTGAATATGAGCCATGAAAGAGTATGGCTTGCACCTACCCAGAAGCTGACCATGATACCGAAGGTGATCGACAGTTGCTGCACAGCAACAAGAGAGCCGCGGATTTCGGGAGGTGCCTGCTCCAGTCAGTTCTCAGAAGCCAGCGAATATGGCTCAGTCATCATGCTCAACGTATAACCTACCAGTTCAGCGTTGTACAGTGGCACAATCATACTCAGACTACCCACTCCCAGACCGGTCACAAAACGGCCACCGAACACGTAGCTTGGGTCCTTGGTGCATGCCTGCACAATGACACCAGCACAAAACACGATCACAGCCACAACAACCGTAAGCCGACGGCCCAGCGAGTCCGCGAGATATCCGTTAGCCAGAGTACCGACCCAGGCACCCAATTCCAAAATCGACGTGAGCATGCCTTGAGCAGTACCGGTCTGTTCTGCATAGTGTTGGGTCTGTATCCGTCAGAACGTGTCACGCCATGGGTATTATAGTTAGTGCGTACCGCGAGAATGAACGAGTTCATCGTAAGAATGCCCGAGAACATGCCCTGGTTATCTGAGAAAAACGTGAGCATCTCCACAAGCGACTCCAGTCGAAGCACTTACAGCCATAGACGAAACCACCAAGCGACGCAAACAATGCAATCGAAAAGGTCTTCTTGCTGCTGAGCAGGCCGCGCCATCCTACGCGGTTGCCCGCGAGCTCGGCGCGCTTGCCTGAGATAGCCTCAGCGCCCACACCAACAGCCATCGCGTCTTGTTATGTGGTCGTGAAGTGAAGGCTGTCTATTGCGATGAGAAAAAAAGTCAAGACAGACAGCACGCAGATGCAAAATACCCCCGGATATGGTATGAGGAGAAGCTGGGTGATCGGCAAGCGGGGAAGAGAGGGGGCGTGGACTTTATAAATCGATCTGCGAGCCTGTACACTACATGGGGAGTCACGTCTTTCATAATCATGTCTGTTTCGCTGTCTGCATGTTCCCTGCTAATACGTTGCCGGTAAGCGTATGCTTCTGGATAGATGCAGCGTCACCGCATGTCATGCGATTCCCTCGTGGCCGGGTATATCGAGGCTTGATTGGGTCCAGCATTTAGCCTGACTTTCGGTCGGGTCTCGACGGCTGTCTCCGAGTGCCACTCGAAACAAGGCATCTGCAGTTCATTTCCTAATCCGTACGGGTTGGCAAACCCCATGGGGGTGTTTGTAGTCGGGCGGGTTTGGTTTGGTTCTCGGCCTAACCCCGGACAGCCGGGATAGCCGGAAGGGAGTTCATCCGCTTGCGTCTGGGGTCAAGCTTTTCGTGTAGGACAGGGTTTCAACAAGCTCAAGCCTTCAGGCTTATTCGGCGGCGTGGCAGTTGCAATTAGGCCTCAGAGAATTTGGCGGCTAATGGAGCCAGGAAAGGAGGGATAGAATGTCTAGGCGGGGAATCTCGCCAGGTGGCTAGGTCGGGGAGAGCAAATGAGGGGAAAATGCGGAGCAGCTAAACTCGGACGTCAATCGCATTTAGCCGGAAATGCCCAGTTGGACAATAATCAGCCCACAGAATTCGGCCCCAGTTTCTGAGCTATAGCGGTTAGTGAGTGAAGGGTCCCCATCAAATCTCATTGCATTCATGATCGGCTTCCGGTTCTCCGCATTATGATCTGGTAGAATGGAGGCGACAGCACGTGGTGTATCTGGCACATGGTGCCGGTCTGCCACAAGTGCATAATCTCACCCCTCGAATCGTTCGCAACCGGTCAATATTGACTCATGACCGAATATTTCCGCAGCTTCCGGGCTTGCGAGTAACAGCCAAGACCTGTTCGGGATGAGGATTAGGCTGTGTGCGTGCCGTGCCTATAGGGCGCGTCGATTGCGCATGCCGAGTCTTGCAGCGCGGTGTTGGGGCCGCCATATCCGAACTATATTCTCTTGCCGATTCATCCAGAAGCTTCTCTCGGTCGGACTTGACGAAAAGGTCATTTCTTGTCTGAGGACTCGGGAACTGCATGCCTGCTTGACAGCATGGCCGCGTCTGTAGTATTTCGCGAACTCGTAGATGGAGAAGAGCAAGCGGAAAGCCTAGCGCTGGCAGAAAGGGAGGCCTTCCCCGTGGGGCTCCACAGCCACTTCCGATAGAAACTATACACTGCATTATGTGCTAATCACTCGGCGGGCAATGGAAACTATTCGACCAAGAAGAGGTATGGACTGAGCGATAATGTAGATGATGTCATGATTCTGGAGATTGATTTTGTCAACAACGTTCGCGCGTTGAGCTTAAAATCATGGTTCAGCTAGGTGAAGTGCCGCTTGCTACGGTATATACTCAACAAGCGGGTAACAGACAATATTGCCATAACGCGCATAATTTGCTGTCACGCCGTAGTGAGTATTTATCCAATTGAAATTCAATGACAATGATAGATAGGCATTTTTAAGCGCCAATAGAGCAATTCAAAGATCAAAACGCCATGAGATGACGAGAGTTGGGGAGAGGGCCGCGAAAAGAGGAGCGGAAAAAAAACCAAAAGAAACGACACCTGTGAGATTCGAACTCACGCGGGCGAACCCACTGGCTTAGCAGGCCAGCACCTTAACCACTCGGTCAAAGTGTCTAATTGTCGGAAGTGTTGAATCAACTTGTTAATGGATAGTGACACAACTAAGCTACCGTCTCTCGAGAATCTCCTTGACATGCCTCGGCAGGTAGTAATTTCTACTCAGCCCGGCCCACAGTGCTGCCTCCAGCTGAACAAGTCCGAGCCCAACCACCGAGGAACTCTTACTCTGATTTCGCAGTGCGTCCCGCCAGAGGTCTATAAGACGTTTGGCGCGAAGAGCGTGGTCTTTCGTCGGTGCCTGCACTAGAAGAAGGATCAGGAAATTCGAGACGGTCGCAAAGCCGATACGGGACCCTTCATTGTCAGCTCTGTTGCTGTTCTTGGAGTTGACTAACAATGACATAATGTTAGGGTATAACATACATGAGTACTGAAAACCTGACATATCCCCGTAGCTAACTCGCATAACCGTACGGAGCATCTTTGCTGCACAACTTTCGGCCGCTTGGAGCACCGCGCTGCCACTTCCATTCCCATCTGACAAATCAATCGCTAACGATGGCTCAAATTCGTCCATCTCAAATAGTTGGTTAATGAGGTCGTCGAATTGACCAGCGAAACCAGGTATCTCGTGGGTTTCTTCATACAAGGGTGGCGGAGTGGCAGAGCGGACCATCGGCCGCAGTAAGGCGCGAAAAATGAAAACCTCTAAGAGGATGCAGGCGAAACGAAGACAGCTGACTTGTAATGCGATGCTCTCCATTGTGAGGGTATGACGACTCTGCTGGCGTGGAGTTGCTGGCAAGAGCTCAGCCCATTCTTTCAGCTTCTGGAGAAGAGGACGGGCGATTTCGAGCGTTGCGTGAAAATCAGAGCATAAACGCTGTGCTGACCTGAGCGCGCTACACAGAGATAACGATCAGCATTCAAGTCGTCCACAATTTAGAATGACCTACTATAAAGACTGTTGCAGTTCATCCGCGATGCGAGACAGGCGAATGAAATGCTGGAACGGCCGAGCATACCAAACCTCATGCGAAGAGTTGCCGTCGTTTGACGCGGACTGTGAGGCATCACGAAGACTATCCGAAACTGAGAAATCCTCATCCTCCGAGTCAGTTACGTCCCATTCATCGTTTCTGATGTAAGGAGGGCGCCCCATAAGTAAGCTGCGCCATTTGTCTTCAGCGTATATAGCCCACCATAACCGACGACGTATTCTCCGCTCCCACGCAGGCAAACCCATCGGTCGGCATTCCAACTGAAGTCCAAGCGATGTTGCAATGCCCACAAGCATACCGACAAAAGACCAAACCGACACACTGTCAGCCACCGCGCTCTCCGTTGCACTGACTGGTCGCTGAAGATAGAGAATCCCTGCTTGTAATGTAACTAAGCGAGGATTGTGACCTTCCTGCAAGACGAGTGCCAGGACCATGCGCCATAGTCGCTCAGTTGAAGGAAGAGAGTATGCGTAGACGAGGCAGAGATAGTTGTCAAACTTGGCGAATGGCAATGCCGATGCGTAGATTGCAGCAAGAAGACAAACAGGTGTTCTCTGAAGCGTACTTGGATCCGGCACAGTACCAGCTGCTGCGAGATCGAATTGCGAGCGGGACAGAACTGGTAGTGCAGGGAACACGAACTTGAAGAAACTGTAGTCTCATCAACAATTGCTGAAATGAACCCATGGATAGCCCAGCTTACAGTATCACCAGCCTCTGGCCACACTCCTGTGAAACAAGGCTATTGAGCTCCTCCCGCGTAAGATTTGAGCCAGGAAATTCCGGGCTCTGTTTTGAGGACTCATAGAGCTGATCGGCGGTTACAAGGAAATGCACTGGAATCTTCTCATCCAGCGGAACACCACCTGCGTTTCGAAAGTGCACTTGGTGGGACAAAAGGAACCCTTTGTCATTGAACTTGCAGTGCCTCAGCAGCCACGGATCTGACTCTCCCGAAGCGCCAATGACTTGGTATGAGAATCCATCCAAACCATCGAGGGTTTGAATGGTTTGGTGTGTATGCCTTTCGACGAAGGGATATGGCGTCTGGGTGCGAGTATCGACAGAGGCCGAAGTAATACCCGTAGGGTCAAGGGTAAATAGATCCAATGGCGGTGAGGTAGTCGACAGATGTGCCGATTGTGATTGCTGAACCGCTGAGACCTGCTCAGGTTGTTTGGAATTGATGGTCGCCACTTGTTGTGTTGGTGATGCGCTCGACCTTGACAGCGCTACACCACGGCGCCGGTGGAGAGGGTAGGCAAAAGAACAAGAATAGCCAGCAGTCAGACACCGCTGGCAGCTGCTGTGACTGTCTGCCTGACATCGTAATTTCTTCCGACGGCATTCGTCACACGGCGGATGTCGCTTTGACCGGTATGGACGGGAGTTGTTCGGTCTACGGCGAACGGCATTGGTCGAATGCGGAGATTCTGGCTCCATGTCACCTAATTTGAGTGCAGTTGAAGGGGAGAGAAACAGAAATCGAAGTGAAGAGCAAAGTAAGTATACGTCGAACTTAATAGCAGGATGAGCGACGTTGGCCGAGAGTTCGGCGAACTTGTCGTTTGATTCGGCTGCCGCTGGAGCGGATCGCCGAATTCTTGGTTCATGTTGTCGGAAGGCGCGGATCTCCCAGTTATTCAGCAATGGCTCCACTCAAGACATAGAAAGAAACTTGACAATTCTCAGCATGAAGGGTTAGAGCTAGCACTATCACTACCATGGGTCGACGACAACCAAGAGCCGAAGACTAATACCTCGGTCTGTTCACTTCATGGATTATAATAAATAGGCAAAATCTATCTCAAGCTCTTATCTCAAGCTCTGCATTCTACTATCTACCAACGGTACCCATTTCCCCGACAGCAGGAACCAAAGCATTGATCGCCTTTCTGTCGCATTAGCCCAGCGCAGTCTCTCTACAATGAGTAAGAGAGATCGAACCATACTTACCATTATACAGGGCAGGAGTAGACGGCTTGCGTCCTTGGTTCTGTCGTACGTAGGTCTTATCCATGTCTCTCTCATTCCTGGTCATGCAAGTTAGCACAGTGTATTTTATATAAACGAGTGACCTACTCATTATTCAATGTTGCTGTGGATGAATAATCATGATATATGGATCTAGTGCTTGTAGCGTTTCGCGAGTGATGGAAGAGGAGACGAAATCTGGCTTTGATGCTGATTGCTTTGTCTCTGAGAGTCATGGTGCGAAGACAACGATAGAAAGGGTGTGATAAGCAAACTTGAGCACTTAGAAGAGGGCGAGGCCAGTTTATATGTCTGATACGATGCTGTCAAAATGCGAAGATTTATCAGATTATGCAGTAGCGCGCTGATAATTTCCAGCAGGGGACGCTACAAGGAGATTTGGGACATTGTCGGCGGACGTGTCGAGCAGAACATGGTTGCCAGATGCAGCAAAGTGCTGTCAACCGAGAAGCACTGATGCTATAGCTTGCTGACATGAATCCTTGCTCCGCCGAAAGCTTTGGCTATGCACCAATTCGCCGAATATTTCCCCTATCGGGTTCTTTGCGTAAGGCGGCCAGATCTCTATTTTGTCTTGAGACCATGAAAAAATGAGCATAATTACAAGGATGCTTTGTCAGAGACTAATCAATAATGACTTGGCACGCTTGATTCCACAGAGCCATCTATACAATCGTAATGTTTTTTCTTGAATTTATAACGGCATCTATCTATATTATTGACAATCATCTCCTATCTTCCCCCATAAATTGGCCAGCTTCACAAGGTTTGACCTCGACAAACATTTCAAGTATGTCCACGCATCCAGGCGGAGCTTAAGTGTAAGTGCCTTCAGAACCTTGTCCTCAAAGCCCAGCCCGCACAAACACCTCGAGCAATAGCGAAGGCCACGGCAGCAGCAGCATACAACACACCTCCAAACACAATAAGGCCCCAGTAATCACCTTGGGCTTGCTGCTGTATCGCCCCTGCAATTGGAATGCCAGTCAGCGTTCCTACACTGGCGATTGTGAATGTTGTCCCGGTCCTCTTGCCCAGGTCTTGCGTCTCACAGATCTGCGATATACAAACAGGTGTGAGGCTGATTGCAGCGCCACTCCAGAAGCCAAAGAAAACTGCATAGCAGATAATGGCAGCAATATTGTCACCAGAAGCAAGCCATAGAGCTAGAGTGAGCGCCGCACACACGAGGGAAGTCAAAACCATCACGTTGAATCTTCCAATTCGATCGGCTATGAGGCCAGGGAGGAAGCGTCCCGGGACGGCGCCTAAATTGAGAAACACAATCAGGGCGTAGGAAAGCGTGTCACTCAGTCCAACGTGAATTGCATACGAGGCAATATAGGTTATCGGAATGAAGACAGCAAACTCCACCAGGAATACTGCTATTGTGGTGGCAGCGTATTTTCCATCCTGCAAGGCGTGTAGATCAATAGATGCGCTAGCCCCTTTGTTGCGAGGGAGGCGTGTTTTCAGCGTGAGACAAGCGACAAGACAAAGGATAGCAGAAAGAAGCGCAATGATTCGAATCGCCCAGGCGAAGCCAATCTTGGGCGCAGCGAAGAGAATGATTAGGGAGAAGATGACTCCTCCTAGGCCACCAGCGGTGCAAGCGATTCCGGTCGCGTAGCCTCTCCGTTTGTCGAACCAGTGCCCCACGCAAGAGACTGCTGGGGTGAAGAGAGTGCACGCGGAAAGCCCGCCTAAAACACTGAAGGAAAGAAATATTTGGTAGTACTCTGGGTGGAGTTAATTGGCTTGGTTTCCTTGTCAAGGGGAGGCAAACAAGTTTACCTTGACTAAAACTCAAGCAGATCAAAGCGGCAACAATCCCAATCGAGCCTGGAATAATGACATAGTTGGGTCCATAGGCGTCGAATATTGGTCCTAGTTGCTACTCAGTACCAGCTTGTCAGAATGATTAGACTGACCTACCAGCTTGCGCTCCAGCAGCGTACAGGAAGAAGCCATATGCCCCGTAGATCCAGCCAATGCTCGACTCAGAGTATTCCACAAGCTGATGCTTACTCGTCCATGCATGCAAGGTCCCCAGACTATTGAGCAGACCCATTGAGGGGATCATGGCGCACCATGCTCCAAGCACAACAGACCAGGCCTCAAACCCTCCCTCAGGGTATGTGTTGTCTAATATCTCCGTGTTCTCGGAAGCTCTCCGGGAAGCGCCGATGCGTAATTTTTCTAACATGGGAATAAGTGATATTGAAGAAAACCTGTTGCCAAGTCCGAGGGTGCAAAGGATGCCTGGCTGGGATACATCATCCTTCGATGGAGGGAATTAGGGATTAAGAAGAGGCCTGGTGGGTGAAATTTGTCCCCATAATGACTTGATTGCATAGTTTGAAGATGGCCACAGTCTGGAATAGTGTTTTTATTTACTGTCTTGGGGATTGGAAATCAATTCTGTGGATTCGGCGAACATCGGCGGAATTGAGCGATAATTGGTCTCGGTCGAGTGGGGCGATTCGTGGTTCGACGGAGGGGATTCTGACTGTCGATGCTGAACGAAGGGAACGCTTACAGAATGCTTCTTATCAGGAGGAGAATTATTGGACCAACGATGATGAAAATCATGACATGAGAATCTCTGTTTCAGAGCAATGGGCGTTCAAGGAGGCTCTCGCATCGTAGAAGATGGCGGGGCGTGTCTTAGGTCGAACAAGAGCAAGAAGAAAGACTTTCGACATTCTGCGGCTCATGAAGCCATCTGGTGATAGTAGGTTAGTTGTCAAATATGGGAAACATGCCGCTAGAACGGACATTATTGATATCAAGGAGGCCGTAGGAAGTGGAGGCGGACGAGGAAAGAGAGTTGTTTCCCCGCCCCCCATGGAGGGCAGGTAAGGCTTGGCCATAACTTCTTCACAGTCAGTAGGCAATTCTTTCCACCTCATCGCTCGGGCTTTTATCTCTTCTGTTAAATTCAGTTTCAGGACAAATTCAGGTGGAATGGGATGTTGGTCATTCTTCCAATGCCACATTCGGCCAGGCTCGTACGATTCATCAAGTAAAGCCAAAGTGACCTGAGTGAATGGACCCTTTACTGGGGTAGTAGAGTTAGCTCTTAAGACAGGGGGAGCCTTCACTTTCTTCCATCCTTCAATTCCCTACTCTTCATCCTCCCTTCTCACTTTCAACTCTCATCTCTCTCTCATCTCTTTCATATCTCCTATATCTACCATCTCCTGACCATTTCCCCTTCATTCTCCTCGATAACTTCCATCACATCCTGTGGCATCACTTGTATGACCATTACACCGTATGGGCACTTTTGGCATATCTCTCACCGGCAGTGAGGCGGGGCTGATTAGCAGCTTACTATAAGGCTTTCTCGCTTTTCTCACTATCACCTTGCTCCTTTTGTCAATATCATCTGAATTTACAAGGATGACTGAAACGGGAACCGCAGGCTGTACAAGCCTAGCTGATCCAGCTTTATCAGACAAGATCGACAGCCTATTTGCTTGCAATGTGGGCGATTATATCGATCTTCCGCAGCTGGTCGTCGTAGGTGATCAGTCCAGCGGCAAAGCTCTGTCCTTGAAGGCCTCACCCGACTGCCATTCCCTCGCGACAGTGGATTGTGCACGCGCTTCGCAACACAGCTCATTTTTCGCCGCGACAAAAGCCTCACAACTAGAAAGATTCATTCCTCTATCATTCCTTCGTCGAATGCGGATTCTGAGAGGGAACGCGAGCTACGGGCATGGGGTGCTGACTTTGAGGGGACCCTAAGCACTACTTCTTTTGCTCGGACCATGAAAGAGGTAAGCACCATTCAAATGATTTTACTAAGGGTTAAGAAAGAGCAACAGCTTGTGGTCACGAAAATGCCGTGATGTTGACCCAAGTATTCGCGACACTGTCTCCCACAACTGCATTCTTGCTGCGAAGGATTAGAATGTGAATAACTTTGCTGATACATTGTTAGGTGCACAAACTCATGGACGTATCAACTGTCGACGAGCCTAATAGACCGACCTTCTCGACACATGTCTTTCGATTGGAGATATGTGGGCCGGACGAGGATCATCTGAGCGTCATCGATGTTCCAGGCATTTTTAAAATAGCTACCCCGGGCAGCACAACCAAAGCAGACATCAGACTTGTCAGGAATATGGTCTTGGGATACATGAAGAACCCACGGTCCATCATGTTGACTGTCGTTGCGGCCAACGTCGATGTGGCAAATCAAGAAATCATCGAGATAGCACGGGACCTAGACCCAGAGGATGATCGGACGCTCGGCGTCTTGACCAAGCCAGATCTGGTTGACAAGGGTGCGAAGCATAAGGTTCTAGACATTGTCGCTGGACGAGAACTCCCTTTGAAGCACGGGTGGATTCTGCTTCGAAATCTGGGGCAGCTGGAGATGGAGCAAGGAGGAGATGGAGCAAGGAATTGTTGATAGAGATTCTGCAGAAGCCGACTTTGAAAAAACTAAGTTGTGGAACACAGTCGCCGCGGACAGGTACGGCATCAGCTCCCTAAAATCGCGCTTGCAGGAAACGGTAACTGAGAATGCGAGAAGAGCATTTCCTCTTGTTAGTTGTGTGAATGGCCACCCTAGATGACCCGTGCTAACAACTTCACAGGTCCGGACTGAGATCAACCAAAAGCTCAAAGAAGCCAAGACAGCGTTGGCGGCGCTGGGTAGTGAGAGAAATACTACCAGCCAGCAACTGAGATATCTCCTGGATGCGATAACCAGGTTCAATGCTGTGACGGCCCAAGCCCTAAGCACACACTATGGTGCGGACAAGAACTTTGACAAATACAAGGAGCTTCGCCTTGCAACTTTGGTTGTCAACCGGGAAGTAACTTTCGCAAGATCGTTCGAGAATGGGGGCACAAATACAGGTTCGAGAAAAGCAGCATCCGTGACGACATCGAGATTCTTTCCCCTAGTGACGGCGGAATTGAGCATATACAGCTCTCTGCTACCACGCGGCCAGAAGCTTCAAGCTCCCACTCTGTGGGGGAAGGAGATTATGATCGCATGGTTCGCGTCCTCCCAGATTCAAGACTCGGATAACTGAGCCCGTCATGGAGCTTGAGGATGTCTTCATGACCAGGAAATAATTGAGAAGCCCTTGAGGCACGGTATCTATGAATGGCTACGAGATGAATATCACAACTCACGAGGGTTTGAACTCAATAATTTCAGCATTACTATGTTGACCAATGTCTTCAACAAGCAGACAATGAAGTGGAAAAGCATTGCGCTGGGCTATCTCAGTGAGATCATCTTTATTGTCCACAACTTCATCATGCGAAATCTGCAGATTTGCTTTGCGGATCGACGAGTCTTTCGCAATTTGCTGCCGTACCTCATGGGCGACTTGCTAGACGTGTATAAGGGCGCCATGGACCATGTGTGGCTTCTCCTATACATTGAGAGGGAGGGCACCCTAAAGACCTTGGACCATTATTTCAACGACCAACTGCAGAAAATGTGAGCCCGTTCTTCGACTAGCGCGCCCATACTTCTTGCACCTTTTGCTGGAGAGCATGCTGACCTTCAGATAGACGCCAGTCTCGGTGGAAGGCCTACGTTGAGCAAAAACAGGTCAACGGAATCCTTCATGTTGGCGACCTCGACTACCGACAGGACATGAGCAACGAGAGCCACACTGTCCAAGACCTGCATGATATCTTAGGGTCATACTACAAGGTCGCGATGAATCGATTTGTGGATAACGTCAGCATGCAAGCGGCCGATTACCATCTGGTGAATGGACTTTGGCTATTTATTTATCTTGGCACAACTTTAATACATTTCTAGTATACCCAATGAAAGCACTATCACACCAAACTTTCCCTAGAGTGACGTCTACCCAATAACCAGGAGCCAGGGTGGTTCTGGATACGTGTCTGGTATGATTCTTGGTTGTTGAACTATCTCAGATAAACATGTGAAGCAGCCTGGTAACCGCGTTGCATCACATAGCCTGATTACTCAGCTATGCCGATAAGTTAACTAGTTAACTAACTACACCGCTGTCAGCCCAGCAACGGCCCTCCTTGCGCCCCATTCCTCGGTGATAAAGATAAAAGAACCACTAACCCGCTTGAACCTAGACCAACAACCGCGGTAGCTCGTGCTTTCTCATCTTAAAAGCCAAGCTCCCCTCATTAATTTCCCACTACATCTCTACTTAACCCTCATACCAACATCCCAACAGGAGTCACCTCGCAAACCACCAACGAAATGACCTACACAACGCAAGCCGAATTCGACGAGGTCAGCCCATCCCTCCCTTCCCCACAATCCCCCCTCCCCCCCCTGAACCATCTCTAACAAAGAGAAAAAAGGCCCTGCACACGGTCCGCACAACCTTCGCCACGGGCCACACAAAACCTCTCCCTTGGCGGCGCCAGCAACTCCGGCGCCTATGGTGGATGCTCGAAGACCACCGCCCGACCATTGTGGCCGCACTGCAAACCGACCTCCACAAATCCGAAGTGGAATCCAACATCGTTGAGATCGGCATGCTGCAAGCCGACATCCTGCACACCCTAGATAACCTGGGTGCATGGACCGCCGACGAGAAGCCCACGCGCCTCGACCCCGTCAACCTCCTCGGGGGCACCGTCGTGCGCACCGAGCCGCTGGGCGTGACGCTCATCATCGGCGCGTGGAACTGTCCCTTCCAGCTGACACTGCAGCCGCTCATGGCGGCCATTGCCGCGGGGTGTGCGGCCATCGTCAAGCCGTCGGATGTGAGTGCTGCGTCCCAGGAGGTGTTGGCGCGGATCATGCCCGAGTATTTAGATACTAAGGCGATACGGTGTGTGACTGCTGGCCCCGCGGAGATGGAGTATATTCTGGCACAGCGGTGGGATAAGATATTTTATACGGGGTCGGCGAAGGTGGCCAAGATTGTGCATGCTGCTGCGGCGAGACATCTTACGCCGGTGACGTTGGAGTTGGGGGGCCAGGGGCCGGCGATTGTGACGGAGTCCGCCGATGTGGAGATGGCGGGGAAGAGGATTGCGGGGACTAAGTTTTTCTTGGCAGGGCAGGTTCGTTTCTTTTAATTTTCGGTTTTAATTTTGGGTTACGGGATTTCTAACGCATGCGGCAGGTCTGCATCAACGTCAACCACATCCTCGCCCACCCGTCCATCCGCGACGCCCTCGTCGCCTCCCTCATTCGCTGGTTCGACACCTTCAACGGCGGCGCCGACACCGTCCCCCCCTACAGCTGCCACATCGTCAACGACCGCAACTTCGACCGCCTCGAGTCCCTGCTCGGCCGCACGTCCGGCAAGATCGTCTACGGCGGCGTCCGCGACCGCAGCACCCGGTACTTCGGCCCCACGATCGTCGTCGACGTCCAGCCGGACGACGTCCTCCTGACCGAGGAGCTCTTCGGCCCGATCCTCCCGATCGTCGACGCCGACCTCGACGCCGCGCTCGCCTTCACCACTTCCCTCGAGCATCCGCTGGCGCTGTACGCGTTCACGAACGTCGAGGCCGAGAAGGATCGGATTCTGCGGGAGACGGCCTCCGGCGGCGTCACGTTCAATGACTGTCTCCTGCATGCCTTGGCGAAAGATGCCCCCTTCGGTGGTGTGGGCCATGCCGGCATGGGCGCGTACCATGGGAAGTATGGTATCCAGGCGTTCTCGTATCGGAGGACGGTCACGAATGCACTCCCGAATTTCCTGGAGGGGTTCATGGATGCCAAGTATCCGCCGTATACTGTGGAGAAGATGCACAAGGTGGTGCCTAAGATGACGCCGTCGTTCGACCGCGAGGGGAATGAGAGGAGCTCGGTGGGCAAGGTGGCTGGCGCGGTGGGCGCGGTGGCTGCTCTGGGCGCTTCGGTCTGGATTCTGGGCGGTGCGAGGGAGAGGATTCCGGCTTATGTGAAGGCGTGGTTGCGGTAGGAACTTTCTCTACGTTGTATTCGTCTGCAGTTAGCTATGGGTTGTGATTGGTCTGTACAATATTTTGGGTTGACTTTGTGCTTGCCTAGCTGGGTGCTATAGTTCGCTGCGGAAAGACTATGATACACTCGGCCGACTCGATAATCCACGACCGATCATGAGCTCGTCTTCGCTTCACCCCTGATTGCAAAGGCTACTAGACTCCAACACCGCGGTGAGGTGCGAGCTCTCGTTGGAGGCCTGTCTCCCATCCAGGCAACATCCCAAAGGATGTGTTTTCGTCTATTGCTGCAGCCGCCATCTGCCCGCCGGAACGGAGCCGGATGACCCAGCACCAAAGACCACATACACCTTCTCATCCTTAAAGAGCTCAGCGGCTCGGCCTAGGAGAGGCGGGTGTAGCGAGGAGAAAGCAACAAAGGAAATCTCACCCACACACCACTCGCACATGCATCGAGACAAGCACCAGCACCAGCACACAGCTCAAGCACAACGGTACCAAAGTACCATCACAAGCTTCTAGTACAGGCACCAGCACCAGCTCAAACACACAGGTCGTGGTGATGGCCTGAGCTGAGAAAAAAGACGAACCGTTAGACGAGGCATCATGGGCAACTCATCCCCTTCCGCTCCCACCGGACGGCGACAGCTTCCAGTAAATGAACCCACCAACTCTCGCCTGGTGCAACTGCGCAGTCTCCATATCACAGCGGCAATGGAGCTGGTTGGGTCACCTCAACCAGCCAACGAGTTGGTTGAAGACCTGATTCCAGCACGAACGCAGGCCGGCTCGTAGTCCGTCCCCGCATGTCACTGCTCCCAGGACCAGTAGGTACCTGGTGGTCAGACCTCGACAAGGTCTGTGGTCTGCCTTGATCAGCCCGCGGATAGGACTCCCGAACATGGAATATTCTGCCCGTACTTATGATAGGGGAAGGCCATGTTCTACCCTCGGGAAGCATTTTTCTTCCTCAGGGAAATGGTCTTTCTTCCTCACGGAAGCATATCCATGAAGGTCTTTCCAAATAACACTAGGTGTCGTCCAGGAAGAACCCCCATGTACGTAACTTCTCGAGATCCGAGAAGGAGATCAAGAAGCAGCGCTGAGCGGAGTCGAATGCACCTAAGCAACACCCGTGCTGATGTCGTAGAAGCACACCCACCCCTCTGTCTATGTCAACTTAACCCTCTAGAAAAGAGCGTTAAGCTGACTGCTCTACCAGTAACACCAAATCCCTTGATCTCCTGGAAGAACAGCTGGCCTGCTTGTAATCCTGTTCTCGCAAATCGAGTTCTCAAGACATAAGCCGGACAGGATAGACAGTTCAGCGCGGTTCCCTTAATCTGTCAACGATGTTTCGGGGTCACCCGTTCTGTGAGACAAAGCTGAAGCTGAGTCCTTACGCGTGATCGCCCACATCTTGTCAGACGTTCGGGACCGTGTCCTCTTCGCAAGTCCTTCGCCACAGCTCGAGCAGGAGCTTGGAGAGGAGGACATGGCACTTTGCCGAAGATCTCAAAATGAGCGTCCCCGCCAGCATGCCTGGTTCTGTGGTCATCCCTCACGACTCTAGCTCGGTCGTCGCCGTTTGGGGATGCACAGAACCCCCCAGTTGGTTTTTCGGAAACGGGCAAGGAGAACTGGGGCCTGACATGGACCATAGCACGGCGATAGGCACAGCTAGGGGAAGTCAGGGACCCTCGACTTCTGTCTAAGGGTCGTGCGGAGGTGAGAAGGGAGGGGATAGGGAAGAGGATGCAGGAGAGGCGGGAGCGAGAGTACACGGTGGGTTATATGCTGGGTTACAAACTGGGATACACACCGAAAACAAGAATTGGGAATGCGAAAAAGGGCAGTTTACATCGAGGGATTTGGATGAAAAACACGACAAAGGATGAAAAGGATAAAGATGTGATATAGGATGTAGGTGGATACAGGATGAAGACGGATACAGGATGAAGATGGATACATGACGGAGATAGCAACAGGACGGAAATGGAATACAAATGATGATGAAGGACATGGGAAAGGATGTGTTACATGATGGGGACCAGGACGATCAGGGTGATGGAAGAGATGAGGATGGAGGGGGGATGAAGGATGGAGGAAAGGAAGCAAGATGGAGGAAGAAGAGGGAGAAGGGGGAAGACTTATATAGACGATAGATTCACGATCAGCTGACTTGCATGGACTCATTCACTTAGTACAGTCACTTCACTAAGAGTGAATGTAGCTCGCCGTGAAAATTCTTACAGACAACTAGCTAGGCTGCAGCCTCAAACTCAGTGGACTCTACGGGAGCTGAAAAACTAGATTTACATATCACGTGTGTTACTGTTGAGCTCGTCTTAGCTTCGCCAATCTATGGCTACTAGACTCCAACACCACGATGAGGTGCGAGCTCTGCGTTGGAGGGATGCGCAGAGGACGGTGCGCAAAGAAGTGAGGAAAGCTTGGGATGCGGGGGAGGGTTTGAAGAAGAGGTGTCAGGTAAGAATAGGAGTATCTAGTATCTATATTGATAAGAATGGAGAGGAGGATGAGCAGGGAGAGAAGAGCAGGAGGTGAGAAGAGGAGGAGAAGAGCAGGAAGAGCAGGAGCAGGAGGAGGAGAAGAGAGAGAGGAGGAAGAGAGAGAGAGAGGAGGAGAGAGAGAGAGAGAGTAGGAAGAGAGAGAGGGTAGAGAGAGGAGAGATAGTAGGCAGAAGGAGAGAGTTGTAGAGAAGAAGAAAGAACAGGGAAGCAGACAGGAAAGAAGACTGGTTTTGTTAAGCAGTGACAACACATTCTCAGCAAAGTCTTCAGGAGAATTTACAACTCTGGCACTTTCTATTGCTTCATCATTGCAGAATCATAAAATTCTCTGGTCATCCGACAGAAACTTTCTGCTGGATGACCTGCTCTGATGCGATACTAATTGAATAGTTGCGTCTTTCTATTCCATCAGATTCTTCGATGACCACAACCGCTGTCATGTCTATTAATGGAATATTGATCTGCATAAATTGGTCTATACAACGAAAGCTTGATGCATATTGGGCAAATTTAAAGTCACTCTACCGAGACAACCACTCATCGATCCTCTTCGAAAGCCGCACACATCTGGCATCGACCACCCTCGTCCACCAACTCGACAGCCAAACCACCAACACCCCCATCACCACAGCCGTAACCCCCCAACTGACCACAAACACCCCCAAACCCCCAGCAAGTGCCTCCTCATCCGTCGCTGGATACTCACGCCCGGTCAGAATCCACCACAGTCCATTCCGCACGGGATCCCGGGCAACATGATACACCGACTGATGCACCAGATACAGCGAGAACGAGATGCGTCCTAGGAACTGCGGCGTCGGCCTCTCCAGCGCCCTCTGCAGCACCTCCACGCGATCGATGGCATACACCACCAACACCGACCCCACCGTCTTCCAGGATTTACTGACGATCGCCCAGTCGTCATCCCACCGGGGCGACTGCAGCGACCCCAGCCATTGATACCCAGGCGTAAGTACCCCATCATCCCCGAGGCAGAGCAGATGCAGCCCCATGAGAAAACAGAATCCTGTCACCAGCATCCTTGCTTTTGCTTTCAGGCCACCAGACGTGCTTGACAGACCAGCCTCGCCATCCTTCCTCCCAACCCACCACCCTTCGCCCAACACCGCATCCTCACTACTCAAGTGCAACCCCTGAGCAAGCCCCGCAACCCCCAAGCCACCTAGAAAGCCCACGCCATCCCAGATTCCATACCACAGAAAATACAACGCCAGCACGAACACTCCGCCCACGCGCATCTCCTTCCTCCAGAACGCCATCCCCAGAATGACAAGATACACCATCAGACTTCCACGAAACTCAATCGGCATCGTCCACAGCTGTCCATTCAGCCCGGGGTTATGATGGAACTGGATGATATTCACAATGTCCAACAAATACCGCAAGAGATAGGTGAAATGGAACAGCGGCGCGGTCCACGGCCGACGGCCCCAGACGACATCGTCACCAAACGACCAGTGATACAAGCCGCAGAAGAACAGCAGCTGCGAGAGAATGGCGACAAGGAAGACAGGCAGATAGATGCGGAAGATCCGGCGAGTCGTCGCGGAGGAGAGCCCGCGGAGTAGTGTCTGGTTCGTCGCGGACGACGACGCGGTCAGCGAGGAAGACGGCGGCGCATCGCGCAGACGAAGCAGGTTGATGCTCAAAGCGTAGCCTGAGATCACGAAGAAGAGCGCCACCATCGCGTGGGCGGAGAAGAGCAGGCGGATCGGGGGCAGTTGGATGAAATGCCGGTTGGCCGACGCGGGGTCCGCCCAGTAGGAGTGGAAGGCGAAGTCGAAGATCCCGCCCATGAAGAAATGATTGAAGGCGACGATAGCGGCGGCAAGGCCGCGGAGGCCGTCCAACCACGCCGTGCGAGGTTTGTCCATGGTATGCTGCATGGTATGCTGTGATGATGAAGTGGTAAACTGCAGCATGGCAGTGGATGAAAGCGGGAGAGGCGGAGGGGATAAGAAACGGAGGGAGAAAAAGGGATCCATGGATGGAGACTGGACTCGGATCCACACGCTAAATTAGTATTTTTAGCGTGCGACCATGACTGGTCCCTGTTTCTGATTCTTCAGGCGGCTGATTGTAACGGTTCACAAGGTTTATTTCTGCTGGGGGTATATACAACATTTCTCGATCGGGTAATCTCATGCAGGCATCTACCGCACTAACGGCGTTGCTGCCTACTCACTACAGGTCGTTACAGGCCGAGTTCCAATGCTCGACTCTCCTCGTCAACCACCCACTGGTCCAGGGTAGCGAGCTCTGCCGCCTGGAGTCGCCCTCGGGGATCCCGCTTCCCAGCCGGATCATACTATCGAGCATACACCGATCCTCGTAGAAGCTCCACTGCACGCACTCGCCCCAGGCTACGCAGGCCGCCTCGCAGTGGTCCACCGACATCCAGGCCTCTGTCCAGGCCTGCGGCTTCGTGACGGTGTCTGGCACCGTCACGGCCTTGACATTACTGGAGCGGATATCGTACTTGGCCGCGCCGTTCTCCCACCACTCCATCCGCTCGCGCAAGTACGGCTGCACCATCGCCTCATACACATCCCTGTACCGGATGGGGCCCCGGGCCTGCACGTCGCCCCACCGCATCTCCAGCTCGTACAACCGGGCCACATCCCGGTTGTGCGTGTGGTGCCAGCTGAACACGGGCTTGCACCAATTCTCCTGCTCGTACCAGCTCGTCCAATGCGCCTCGGGGTTGAACCCATAGCTAAAACGACTCTCCTCCGCCTCGGGATGCTCTCCGAACCCCACGCCACTCTCTTTTATTACATGACCCAAAATGTGATCGCCGCAGCCATGCTGCGCCGTGAATGCAGCATACTTCTCCTCAATATTGACCTTCTCGTCCCCAAACGCCATCTCCCACGCTTTGCGCGAGATGGCGAACCCAGAGCCGCCGTGGGCGAAATAATCCCCATGGATCCAGGCGACGCTGCCCAGGTACCAGGGTTGCTGGTGGTCGAAGCGCCCCAGGTGCGCGAGGAGGTTGGGCAGGAAGAGGTAGGCGTCGTCCTCCATGAAGATGTACCATTTGGCGTCCGGGCGGGCGCGCCCGGCGTGCTGCACCAGCGGCAGGAACTTGTACTTGTCGAGCTTCCAGCCGCCCGCGGGGCCGGAGTTGTCGCCCGGATAAACGTTGTTGATCTCGGCGTAGTTCTGGCGGAAGTCGTGGTCAGCCTGTTGGCGGTAGGGGAGGGCGATCTCGGGGTCGTTGATGGTCGTGTTGGCGAGGACATCGATGAAAGTCCACGCGCCGATGGTCTCGGGGCTGTCGGAGTAGAGGAGGACGTTGGCCGGCGGGATGCGGGTGGGGGCGAGGGTGGTGGTGAGGTGGATGGGGACGCGTTTCCAGAGAACGGAGGCGCCGGTTTTGAACATGAGGACGATGTCATTGACGGTGAGGGAGGAGGAGGAAGAGGTGGTGGTGGTGGTGTCGGAAGCATGGGAGGTGGAGGAAGCGGAGGAGACTACCGCTGAGGGAGCGGGTCTCTGCGGTGTAGAGGTGTTTTCATCTTCGGCGTTGAAGGGGGACGAGGGGTGCACGACGACAGTGGCCTCTCCTGCTTGATAGGGTGTTTGCGTGGTATACGCTGCCGATGAGACCCATGGGGGGCGATCGAGGGCAAAATGGTAGAGGAAAAGACAGACGGTCACCAGAATAATCCCAAGCGGGACGCGGCGATTGTCTTGGTAAAACCGACGCATGATGAGGGTGTCTTACCTCCGATCATGAGCGGACTCGTCTGAACGGCGGGTGCATAATGGACAGGGTTTTATATTTTGGGAAAGAAACTAGCAGAGAATGAGTCTACAACTAAACTCGGTAAGTGGTAATTTTCTCCATGATAAATGCCCCTCAATGGATTTCGAGGGTCCTCTCATCTGACCCCTATACAAGGACCCCCAAGACCCCCCAACCCCACCACAAAAATTAGTAAAATTAGTTAAATGAATGTCTCAGGCGCAAAGCAGCGTGATTGGCAGGTGCCTGGCGAGACATGGACAGATGCCTGCGCTAAACCCTTTGCAGTAAGCATGGACAAGGCTGTTGTCTTGCCGAAAATAGTTTAGAGCGCGGCTATTGCACTTCCTCAGGGTTTGGTTTAAGAAGTAATAAAAATAATCTCCGTGTCTGCAGTCAAACCCGGTGTCGATACGAGCCACACGAGGGGTCCTGCCAGCCTATGATTAGATACGATCCACCGAATCACAGCACTGGGCCTCTCGATTTCGGGAATTGCTTTGGCAAATTCAACGGTAATACTCCGTACCAAACACTGACTGACTAGCACTGACTCCAGTCTAGTGACTAGTCAACTCAACTAGTGAATCCATCATTGAGATTTTTTTTTGCGGGTGACTACTCCATCATGGCTCCATCGGCGGTCCCCAATTCAATAGGGGACCAGATAAATACACCAATGCATCCGATGCCGCACCCCGAAGAATGTAGTCGTGAGCAGACACACTTCGACCATGGACCACCCACCGATAACCCCCCAAAGGGGCCCCCAAGTGCCCCTGCTGCGTCAGATGCTTAACGGGCTGGGTTGTCTGCTGGTGCTGCCCCTGTACTACTACCTCACCGCCGCCACCCGCCATCCCCTCACCCTAGACCTGCTGCTCACCATCCTCGCCGCCGAATACAACCGCTTCACCAACGAGCGGCGCCGGCGCCGCCTCTACCAGCCCAATGTGGCTGCCGCTGATCCCGAGAAGCCACGGATGGTGGATGCGCAGTCCGGACCGGACTGCATGGCCGCCGTGGTGGGCTACCGCGAGGACCCGGGGCTGTTTGCGCGCGCGCTGAACAGCTACCGCACGGCGGAGGGGTGTCGCTTCATGCTGGTGGGGATTGACGGGGACGAGGAGGCGGATATGGAGATGGTGCGGGTTTTTCAAAATGTACGCCATCCCCCCCTTTTCCCCTAAAACACCACTTACAGGTCCTCACTAACAAACAACAGATCTACCCCACTGCCCCAACCATCCACCTCGACACCCCGCTAGGCGACATCGCCACACGCACCTTCGACAAACTAGCCACCGCCGACCTGCACGCCTCCCCGCCGGAGGCCTACCAACTCGCCAGCATCGCGCACTGCTGCGACCTCGCGCGCGAGATCCTGGGAGAACACAACCTCCTCTCCGGCACAGGCCCGCAGCAAGTCTGCATCTACCAGCCGCACCACAGCAAAAAGGCCATCATGTTCACGGCCTTCATCTTCAGCCTGGTGCTGGCGGATGCGCGGGGGATCGAGTACCTGTGGTCGTCGGACTCGGACACGCTGGTGTACACGGACTCGCTGCGGCGGACGGTGGCGACGATCGCGGGCGACCCCGCCGTGGGCGGGGCCAGTTCGGGCCTGCTGGTGCACAACGCGGGCGACTCGGTCGTGGCGCAGCTGGGCCGGATCGTGTACTGGTGCGAGCTGTACCTGACGCGGTCGGTGGCCACGGCGGCCGGCACGAGTGACTGCCAGAGCGGGCCGAGCTCGGCGTTCCGGGTCGCCGCCTTGCCCGGGATTCTGTATCCGTGGTATACGCAGGAGGTTTGGGGGCATCGGATGGTGAGTCTAAGCTAGCTAGCCCCAGCACTGTGTGAGGCCCGGCCGGGCCGAACCAACCCTTCTTCAGGGACTATCCAGCCCATCATCAACACCCACATAATCGATAGCATGAATATGCTAACAATCCCCCACCGGGGAAAAACAGATCGTCAACGAAGACCGCCACCTAACAACCAACCTCCTCCTCCGCGGCTGGACCGTCACTTATGTGTCTGACACGCTTACAGCAACCGACACGCCCACCAACCTCCGCAAATGGATTCTCCAGCAGGTACGCCCTCCCCAAATCCCCAACCTCCAAAAACAATGCTAATAATACTAGGTCCGCTGGTCCCGCTCCGGCCACATTGAATCCCTGCAATCCCCACACCTCTACCTCCTCACCTCCCCGCTCTTCTTCTGGGCGGCCATCAAGCGCGAAGCCGGGCCCCTCCTCGGGCTAGGCTACATCCTATACTACCTGTGCACGGGCGCAAGCCTGGCGTACTTCTCGTGGACGGACCTGGTTGTTCGGCTGGTCTACACCGTCCTCTATAATGTACTCCGGAACCCCGATCGGGGGGTCAGGAAGCTTGTGCTGTGGGTGGGGTTGCTCCCTGCGTTACTTTTTTACAACATCCCCTTGCCGATTGTGCATTTCTGGAGCGCGGTGACGGTGTTGGAGGACGGGTGGGGGACGAGTATGCGTTCCAAGGAGGGGGGGGTTGTGCCGGATGTTAATGCCCTTCCTAATTCCTCATCCTCCGGAGGAGGGGGTTCCTTAGGGGGTAAGAGCGGGGTGGAGGAGAAAGGTGCATTTGGTGCTGGGGCTGCTGGGGCTGCTAAGGGCAGCAGCAGCGGAATGTGGAAGCGGTGGAAAGAGCTGGGATTCTTTGTGGTGTACATGGGGATTGTGGCCGGCGTGGCGGCGCGGATCCTGGCGGGACATCTCGGGTATGCGGTTTTGCAGACGGAGCGAGCGGTTTGGGGGGCGGTGGTCGTGGGGTTTGCGGGGGCATTTTGGGGGTTGGTGATCAGGGAGTAGATGACTGTCTCTCTTGGGCAGGAAGATGATGCTGCTGCTGCACATAGTATATACGGATAATGAGGAACTTGGGGGTAGTGTCATGACCAGACAAAAACAATTTTATTCGGCATTAATGAACACGAAATTTTGATACCCAATACTATACTCAATCCCCAAAGGCAGACTTTTACTCCTCAATGCGAATCGCATCCTCTATCACAGACAGATGGCGGATCAATATCAATACCCCTCCTCATCCACGCTGTACTCCCGATACATGATCATACTGTACCGCGCGAACGCACTCCGCGCCCGCAAGCCCCGTCCATACCGCGCGAACAGCGGCGGCACCAGACAGAAGACCGTCGCGAGGGCGGCGAGCACCGAGACGG